ATACAAATCTTCGAATTTTCCGCCATCTTGCCCTGATTACCCATGATCCGACTATTAGCGTGAACTCCTTTATTTTAAGTTCTGGTACAGAAGAGAGGAATTTTCTTATTCCTCTCTCTATCGCAATTTTAGGTTTCCTTACTTTCTACGAACAATAGCCTAACCTGAGGAGTGAGATGCGAAAAATTGACTTCAGAAAAGCTGAAGGAATTTATTAGATAGGCTTCGAAAATATATGGAATCTTTGCGATTTTTACTATGTTTGCAGCCTTCTCGAGTATCGCCTTCTTTGCCTTTTTTCTTTTTTTATGTCTTTTTGCTGGAAAGAAAAATTCTTTTTACCTTGCGATTTTTACTAAATTTGGGGGCAAGGCCCTCTTTGCCTCTTTTGTTTTTTGCTATTCTTGCGATTTTTGCCACTCAGTGTCTGATGAATCATTTTTTGCTAAAATTGCGATGAAAATAGGCCATTTGCACTAAGAGGTCATGTGACATAGTTTTTATAAAATAAAAGTTGTAAGATTTTTCCTTCGATAAACGATTAGTGGGTCATATCCTAGACAAAATTATAGTGATTTGGATGAAGAAAAGATGATGTGGTGACGTTTACAGCACATCTGAGCGTAATTATCAAACGTTCAACAAGATATAAGCATAAAGTAGTTTTCAGCGCTAGGGGCGGGGGGGAAGAGACGAGGTCTGGGACCGAGAAACGATGTTCTCACAACTTGCAAAGCGGTCACCCAGCGTGGTGGTCAGCGGATAATTACAGTATTTTTCCCACAGTAAATATTTTAGTAGCAAGAATTCAGGGGGGGCCTGTTCGGCGCAATGTTGGGGGGCAAAATTACAATACAATACAAGAGAAAGAGTATGCCCTCCAACATGGCGGCCGATACAAATCACACTACTTTGTTGAAAAATCAAAGTGCCATAAAATGTCTCTCTTAAATGCGTTTCCTCTCAAATTTCGGGGGTAAGATAATTTTTATGTGCTCTGTCAATTTTTGGCGTCAGGAAGATTCCAACTCACTGTTTAAATAAAGCATTGTTCACGTGACTTCTTAGTACAAGTCAGACCTATTTGCTAGCAAACTTTTGCTACAGCTTCAGTGCAATCCTGGAAATAAGAGCCTCTTGGCAGGCAGTCAAGTACACAATTTTTCAGTACTTACTATATTGGTGCTATAGCTAAAGTGGAAGTGGAAAGCTGGTACTCCCTAATTCATTTCAAAACTTGCTTCTACTTTAAAGGCGTCCTTTTTATTGCTAGTAGCACACAGATGAGGATTTTGGCTTTGGCTTTTACAAGGGAACAAAGAGCCAAAATTTTCCAGGGGGTTCAGGTTCAAGTAGTCCGGTAGTGAAATTTTAAGGAGTTTTATTATTTGGGATTATTTACATATTCTATTAGATACATGTGATTAGATAAGTTTCTTTTCAGTATTCCGGTTCGTCTAGTCGATCTGTATTCTACTTAAGAACGTTGGACCAGGCTTCACTGTAAGTGAGAATATGCCTCTGCACATGCAGGACAACGTCTCGGCAAGCGAGTAAGAACCTACAGTGTTCCAAGTTAGCCTAAACAGGTTCTTACATGAATGGTAATTAGCACAAATTCAGACTATTATGGTTCTTAAACAGGTTCTTATTTTCTGAAGAAAAAATACATTGTAGCTAAGAGCATTTAGTGGTTCTCAGCTTGATTTTCAACACTTGGCATTTGTATTGCAGTTGGAGGAACAAGACACTATGTCTCCAAAGAGGATGCTGAATGTTGACTTATCTTATTTGCCCATTATTAAAGTGAAGAGAATTTATTTTTACAGATTTTACAAAAATAAGAACCTGCTTCAAATTGTGGGCTAAATAGGGTCGTGTATAGAGGGGGCCTAACTGGCAAAATATAGCCTAACAGGTTCTTAAAAATTCTTATTCGCGGGTTTTTTACTGCATTCGGCGTAAACCTGATTCTGAACATTCCCTTCATTTTGCTATCAGGAGGACAGAATCATGAACGGAAAACCTTTCCATCTATTTCTAAAATGTTCCTGGAATAAGTCCCCCAAAATATGACAACCGTATGTTTGGTTTATTCTTTACCATCTCTTGGTCAATGACAATACACTTTAGTGATCGTTACAATATATTTGCACAAAGCGTTTCTACTTATTAATATTACTATATCATTAGTTGCAAAGAGTTTCTACCCGGATTGTGGTAGATCATTGACCCTAAACATTCTTCTTCATTTGGTTGTACCAAATATGCGAACCTCGAAAACTGGCTCTCAAAGAGCTCGCTCCCGTAATATGTCATTAATATTCAAGCTGATTCCTCAGGAAAATGACCTTTCGAAGTATTGTTTCGTTCCGATTCCCGGGAGAACAAGTTCATCCTCTGTATACTATTTTCTTGGTCCCAATGTACAGATTGTTAGTTCAAATGAGTGTTAGTTCATGTGATGTAAATGAGTAAGGTTCCACCATCTTTCGTTTCTAAAACTTTAGACTTAGATTTGACGGTGGAGGCGCCCTTCTGGATAAGGCTTGGACTCTCTCTTTATGACTGAAGGCAGCAAGTAAGCTGGAATTAGTCCTCATTTACAAGGACGTGACTTATGTCCCCATAAATATTATCCTCAAAGACATTGTTTGACATCTCTATTTCAACGCCATGCTCAGGATCTTCACTGGCTGCATTGTACGTCTTGTCATCTTTCTTCACACAGATACCATAGTGGTTGTTTGAAATATAATTGTCTGTCAGAACAGCTTTGGTCTTTCGAAAATCTGACACTGCCTGCAAAAAATCAGGAGGATTATTAGGTCATTTTCGAGATGTCTCAAGCCTCTGCTTCAAAGTGAGGCTAAGTGCGAAGCCATTGATACGAAAACGATTTCATTTTATTCTCAAGCAAATAAAATTCATTTTACAAGAAAGGTTTCGCACATAGTCTCGTTTTGAAAGTTAGGGTTTTGGAACTCCGAAATAATAAATAAATAATAAATAAATAAGAAGAACGAACAAAAGAGTCCAAGAAAAAAATAAACCTCAAAAGATTTTTTGTATTATATTCAACATTAAAGTTATGCGCATACTTTGACCATTTCTTTTAAAGGTCAACAAAAAAAAATCTTTTTTTAAATTTCAACAGGTGCTTTGGCAAATATTGTGGAATGTCGATTCATAACAGAAACGTTTTGGCTGGCAGCTGCACAAGGATTCGAAATGACTCCAAAGCTGCGGCTCAACGATCAAACATATTCATTCAACAGGAATTGATGTCAGTTGAAATACTATGTTCAGTTAAGGTTTTTCAGTACTTTCCTCTCTCAACTTTGCATTTGATTGGTTTCCCAAGCAGTTTTCATCTAACTTTTTTTTCACTGTTTTAAATTCGCTTAGTTACCTCTTGAACAAAGCTAAGTACAGTAGTTGGAAACAGAAAGCAACCAATCAGAACCCTTAACTTTGTGACAACACTGTGGCCGTTAATAACACACTCACGGCAGGCCTCAACCACCGGAAACAACACATGTGCATTCACATCCCTTGTACCACTTGTGACGTCACTAGTTTTGAAGGTCATAGACATCTTTCAAAAATTACCAAATGAACGAATCACTTCAGTTAAACGAGTAAGAGAAAACCAAAGGTAACCAGAAAATTAGGAAACTCTAAGTCTTATTCCACTACCTGCTTGTATTTCCTTCAAAATATCAACATAATTTCATGATCCTCGGGTTTTTGCGAAATCTTTTCCTAACGAAATGAAACCTAGTAGATGTCCAGCTAAAGAGAAAAAAAAGGGGGAGGCGGAAATAAACGAGGAGGAGAGAAAGCGAAAGTTAGAAGTCGAGTAGCCTCCAATGCTGACGTTCTTTTTGTTCTTTGAGAAGGGAAACAACAAAGAACTTACGGCCCGGACCAGTGCCCCACTTTTATAACCCGGCAATTCTCGAAATTTGGTCTTCGGCACACGCTCGATTTTAAGAGGGTTATTTACCATGGTTTGGCCAAATAGTTACGTTAAAATGAACCATGATGTTGGGCGAAAATGTTGGACTGTTTAGCCGGGGCATCCAGGTTGCGTTCGATTGGGAAATCCGGATTTCGGGTTTTGCAATCGAACGCGAAATCCGAAAACGGATTTCACCTCCGAGAAATCCGTCCTTATGGTGGATTTCAATTAAGAAATCCAAATCCGGATTTCATGGATTTCCTTTTACTATTCGATTGGGAAATCCGAAAAAGAATATGCAAAACTATTATCGTGAACTGTGGTCTTCTTTTTGCTAATTATGCGTGAGCGTGCAAGGCCGCTGTTCTTAAGAACTGTTTATCAAATCGTTTTTCGGATTTCCCAAAAAAACGGAAAGAAAGGGAATTCAAGAACAGATATCTCAGTGTTGAAATCCGTTTTCAGATTTCGCGTTCGATTGCAAATCCAAAATCCGGATTTTAAAATCTAAATCCAGATTTCCAAATTGAACGCACCCACAGAGAAAAGAAACGATTCGAAAGAATTTTCAAGCACTCTCGATACATTTGGCATTTAATTTTGTTAGTAAAAATACGACAGACCTCCAGTAAAATGGCTCCAGTGGGTTGCTCTGACGGAGAATCGCTGCTATATTCGCCATTATCATAGAACTTGTTGTTTTCTAGACAAACACCTGCTCCACGGTAAACTATAATTCCTGCAGACTGGATAAATAACAACCTCAGTTTAGGGTGCAATTTGTGAATGTTTACAGGAGGAGACGTCTTTACTTCCCCCTTTTGTCATCAAATTCATTAGATTAGATTACGTAATATATCAAACACGACACGCAGCGAGCGTGGTGTTATAACTGATGTCCAGGCACCAAAGAATTGGGAAGAATTTTTTTCCTTTTACGGTAAGCGTTCAGAAGTTTAAGAAGATCTTTATGGGAAAGTTTATTTAAGGAGGGCAGAGAAGGAATCCTAGAAGAAACGGGTGTTTATCACATCTCTTCACCATATTTATCTGAAGCGTGATTATACCATCACACTTTCATGTCATTTTCGGGATTTTTTTTCTCTCAAAGCCGCTTTCAGCAAATTAATAGTACAGTCGAAGCTCTCCTTTCGACCACTCTCGTAAGCGACCAGCTCAAGGTGCCACAACCTTTGTGAAACCCCGTTTGAACTGTGACGTGAACTTTGTAATGAAAAGCTATCGCAAGTGCGACCTTTCCCGTAAGCGACTGCGACCACTTTTGGGATTACCCAACTGACTGGACTCTTTCTTTGTTTGTAAGCTCTAGTAATCGACTTTTAAATCATCACTTTAATGAAACTGCACGCTGCGCTAATGTTTCGTTGTTAAAGATCTTGTACAGTGCAGTATTGTAACTGTAAGAGTCCACTTAGCCTTCGCGGCAAAGACCTCCCAGAATTATTAATGATTTTCTGAAGCTCTCGTAAGCGATCATCCTCTATTGTTTTACCATACTTATCGCTTGCGATCGCTGGAATTTCTGTAGTGGTCGTTACGAGAACTTCAATCGTTGACTGTACTTCCATTGTTGAGCTTTGTATCTAACCTGTCAAGAAAGTTTTCTAAAAGCAAAGAGGAATATTATTACACTTTAATATAATAATAAATGTGAATACTGTACAGTACCGCAAATGATCCCCAACCGCAAATGATCCCGAGACCGCAAATGATTCTCGACCGCAAGTGATCCCCAAAGTCGACCGCAAATGATCCCGAAAGAAAAATAGGAATGACCGGGACTCAAGTTATCGGACCATCGTGTCGATTTTATTATTATTACAGTAAGTCAGATTAAAAGCTAAAGTTTACTTCTCAAATAAATTTTTTTTCTATGGTGGGCAGGATATTTTTTTTCCTAAAATATTTTTTTTTCCTCCTCAAGGATTTTTTTTTTTTTCAAAAAAAAGGGTCACCTTAAAATGTTGTAAGCTATACAAAATCATTATTGTATAGCTATCTTTTCAGAAAGTCATTCTTTACACTCATTTTATTACGTCAAAATAAAGTGATGCACCACAGGCAAATGTGAAAGTGTTTAGTTTCTTAATTAAAAAAAAAATAGCCAAAAATAGCGAAAAGCAGTTTAGAAATGCTCATAGCATGGTAATTGCTGCTAGAATCGCATAATTAAGTAAAATCTCGCATTCTGATTGGTTAACGAAGCGAGATATTTAGATCCCCAACCGCATCTACGTAACAACTATGATCCACAACAACATGAAAAAAGACCCATTCAAATGATCCCTTCCTTGTTTTGAAAATGGACCGAAAATGAAACTTCTCGACCGCCCAGAAAATGGCAATCCAAAGATCCCCAAAACGGAAAACGTCGACCGCAAATGATCCCCTGAAAAAAAAAAAGAGCCGAATGACCGGGACTCAACAGTTAAAACATCGGACCATCGTGTCGATTTTTATTATTATTACAGTAAAAGGTGTCAGATTAAAATGACCAATTTGAAAAAGACGTAAAAACGTTTAAATTCTTCTCAAATAAATAAATGACTAAAAAAAAAGTTGTCTAAATGGAAAAAAAATCATTCAAAGCAAATGTGACTTTTTCTTTTTTTTCCGCTTATTTCATACTGAGAGGTCATGACATGCATTTTTTATTCATGAAATGCGATTATTGTTGTTTCTGGTCGGCATGATTTGCCCTTTTGATGCAATCGAGCATTTCATAAAAATGTTTCTGTTTCCTTTGACCTCTTTTTATAAATGCAGTCAGCTCTTCATTGCCGCTAAATAAGGGTTTTTTTTCTAGGTTGTTTAATTTTTTTCTCCAAAGTGCCTCCTGGATCCGAATAATCATAAGCGATTTTTCTTTTTTGTCTGTGAATGTGACGGTTTCCCTGACGGTGTTTTTTGTCACGCGATAACTACCGCTCACCTGGCTTTGTGTTTCTCATTACCAGGTTTAGATTCCTGGTAACTGCCTTCAGCAAAGGCACAACAAATGAATATACATAAAAGCGCCAATATAACTATCCACAACACTTTCATGAGCTGTAAGAAAGTTGCTATTTCGAAATAAACCGAAACCTGTGGACATTGATAAGTTCGGGGGCATTTTGTCTTGTGTTTATGTTAAATCATGTCTTGTTTCGTAACGGGCACCTAAGTTACGAACAAATGTTTTGCTGTTTATCACGTAAAATTAACACTTAAGAGAAAAATCAAAATTAAATATTCTGGCTGATTAATTTCACGCGTTCAAAAAGATCAGTAAAGTCAATAAAGCTCTTGTTATGTAGAGGGTGCCCAGCTTTGTATTCCTCAGTAGAAAAGGTGAGCTTCTAGGCGTTAAAATAATAGAGTTTTTTCGGCGTAACGTCCTGCCTGTCTTAAATTTTGCAAAAGACGAAACATTCTTCAAAAAAATTGAAGCAATCGACAAAGGAAGAAGTATACGGTTAATACCATACTTTTCAGATTTATTCAATTTTTTTTTTCACCTTGTATAAATTGACCTGAGATGTAGCGTCCTCCTTCCCTTTTTCTTTAAAAGGCGAGAGAAAAAGGATTCTTTTTTATAATCAGTCCTTTTTTGTAATCAGTCCCATAAAATCCATTCCATTCCTCAAGTTTTCACGGGATCATTTGCGGTCGACTTTAGGGATCACTTGCGGTCGAGGATCATTTGCGGTCCATTTTGGGGATCATTTGCGGTCTCGGGATCATTTGCGGTTGGGGATCATTTGCGGTACTGTACAATACTCTTACCTTAGCACCATGAAGTTTACTGTCTCTCATAATTATCTGTCCACTGCTCTTTACTGTCACGCCATTTGTCACGCATCTTATTTCACAGTTGTCAATTGTGACACAGCCACTATTGATGTTAATTAGTCCTTCATTATCATTTCCATCCTGCTGAAAGCTTACATTCTTGATGCTTACGTCACACGCATTGCATTCAAGCGTGAATTCATCATTGTCACTGCAACAGACTAACATACTGTTGAGTTATTTTACCATACTGCCACTTTCTATGAAGGTTAAATACTAAAAGGATTGAATTAGACTGAGGCCTTTTTTCTGCTGTTTCTTCATGAGGTGACAAGTAACTATGTAAATAAATCATCGAAATGGAGAGTTTTGCCTCAAAGGTGGTGGGACCAAATGGTTCCAAATGTCGTGAACTGACGTCATACTGTCTTCACAGGAGGACCATGTCACCAGAACACAAAAGACAAATCGTCTATTTTGAATGTAAATAACAACCTAGAAAACTTGTGTAGTTGGTTTTTTCTGACATATCGTAAAACGTACGGGTCAAAATGACCAATGTTTAAAAGCCTGTTTGAAGCCCCCTTAGTAGTTAAATATACATGTATACTGTGAAAAGGCTAGTACCCATACTCTTACCAACAATCTCGGAAGAATTTCCTTTTCCCACAATATGAAGAGAATCTGCAAGATAGTAGGCTTTATCGAGCATATATCTTCCTGGATAAACAACAACTGTGTCTCCTTTATAATATCTATTGAGTGCCGTTCCCAAGCACGGGAAATGCTCTATCACTGTGTTGTCTGTCGAGAAGGAAAAAAACCAAATTATCATCGGTAGGTGTTCAGCTGTGCGGCACTCAAAAATAACTTGATTAAGTGCGACAAAGATAAACCACTGGCAAAATTGTTGATACATCAGTACAGACGCCTCAAGTAACAGAGGGCCAGGTTGGTGTAGTGCCACTTTCCAGGCCCACCCCCGTGGGGGCCAGGGGTTATTCGCTGAAAAGGGAGAACATTGGCAAAGAAACAAGGTTTAAAATGGCGTCTGTTCCTTCTCTTTAGGCCGCCAGGCATTCTTTGCGACCAAAATACTCTTTTTGTAGTACTAACTAGAACGAAACCAACCTGGGAACGAGGTTGAAATAAATCTTCCTGAAACTCACTATAAATTTTCAAATGCTTCTCGATGAAAGTTAGGAGTCTCATATTAAGTCTCAAAGAAAGCGATTTGACATTTGATTTAAGAAAGTAAATATTTAATATGGACAAATTGTTGGCTTAGAATTAGCCACAAAAACATTTATTCTAGGTTGTTGACGGTCTCCCCAGTGGCCCGTAGTTTAATCTCCACTCTTTCTTAGACTTCAAAACAAAAAAGTGAGAATTTCATTCCACAGATTTTAGAGCAACAAATGTGATTGATTGACTGGTGCTGCTTCCTAAAGTAGTCAAAATGTTTTTCTTACTTGTTTATGCTGCGTCAACATAAATAAGAGACCTCAAGAGGATGAACGTAGCATACACCTAAGTTGTGACAAACCTAAGAGAGGGCCAGGGACTCCACAGACCACCCAGCGCTACATTTACAAGGTGGATAAAGTGGAAGTACAATCTAGGCAAGTGTATTTACCTTGAAAGCACTTTAGCATTCCAGCTTGTAGTTTTGGAGCAACAATAAAGGTGACTGGATCATCTCCTTCTTTTCTAATGCCTCTTGGTTTCTGTCTGATCATCTTTGGTGAAACAGAAGCTAAAAGGTACCTCATCTGTGGATTTTCTATAATTTGCAGGGAATGAGCTAAAGATTCACAAAACTCAGACATCTGTGCACATTTAAGGACATCCATTTCATCAAGCTCTTGGTCAAGGTCACTTGCTCCTATTTGTTCCTGAAGCTTTTTCAGTTCTGCAAGCTTCTGTCCGTATTGTTCATAAGTATCTATAACGGCACAGAATCGCCCACACAGACAAAAAAACAATGCAGCATTAATTCAACATCGCTTGACGGTCATTGAACTGAGTGGAATACAACTTTGGTCTGAAATCATGCGCGTGATTTCAAAATCGTATCGACTTTATTAATTAGGGAGTTTAAGCAATCAAGACGACTTTGACAACGTTAGAAAAAAAATTGGATTATTGAACAAAAAAATAATTCTGCACATGCATCTCACTTTTTGGTACATTTCGTCTTTTTCTCTCCTCAACTACGACGTGAAATTTGTTAATGCGACGTTCATATGAGAACGTGAACACACCACAGCATAGTTTCCTTTCTCGTTTTGAACGTAGATGCTGGTCTTAACAATTCAACTAAATTTGTTAACTGTGGGCTAATTGAGGTGGGCGGAATAATCGCGATGAACTTTGAAATAACGCAAATTTACGCTTAATTAAAGATCAATGATTACTTCCTAGTAGTTTTGTAGTGGCGATGCGAGAAACTTAAAACAGGCTAGGGATGATAACTTTGTTTAATAAAGTACGTTATGGAAATCATTTCGGCTTTAGCATCAAACGAAGAACTATGCAGATCAAGACTGACGATCTTACTGATCCGTCTCAACCTTTATCGTTGAAAAGATAAGAAGAATTGATTGACACCGAAAGATTCTATAGTTCATTTTGATTTATTCTTTGGAAATTTTAAAAAAGAAAAGTTATTGAACAGCAGATGGTAAATCAGTACCGTCTGACGCACGATACGCAGCAAGGTGAGCGGAGTACCTTTGTATCTCTGTACAAGGTCCTTTGGCAAGTTTCCATCTTGTATTTCATGGTAAAGTTGAAGACGTGTTTCTAGATGTCTACTTGCAAAACAGTAATCACCATCGTCATCTGCATCCCATTCTCGCCAGATGTTGTCATAAAAGAACCTAAAGTGGAACAATCATTTTTTGACCAGGCTGCCCACCTATTCTGATCTAACCCAATATCTTGCCCCAAGTAAGAAGTTAGTGTACAGACCGCCTGCGGGTGGGAATAGAGATTGGCTGGAAAAGAGCCGGTCAGTCATGATGGGTTGGCTTTGTGTAAACATTCACTTGAATTTACATATCGTTACATTACCAGCCCAAATCGGACATGTTTAAGGTGGCTCGACTGGATTTTTTTGAGGGGATACCTCCCAAGTTTTAGCATTAACTACGTCGCCATGAGCAAAGATATGGGAAAAAGATTACCACAACTGTATTGTATGAAGATGAAAATTTCTTATGATCTGGGTTTTATTGCAATCGGAGTCGCCATGGCAACGTAACAACGCCATTATGTTTTTTATTTATCTTTGTGTTTCTCTGTACCACGAGTTTTTTTAAGAAATCGCTTAAGGGAGTTTGTACCTGCCATAATTGCCTCAATTATGGCAAAGTCTGAACAAATTGTATGAGAGCGTTTTCGAGATATTTTGAAACGAAGTTTTAAGCATCATAAAAACAGTGAAATAGCATGCTATCCACACAATTAGCTAAATTTTTAAGAAAAATATAAGCTTTGGAAACGCGGCTTCATCTCATAGTGGTTTGATTCCTTTGAAAACTGCGTACAAAAAAAGAGGAGAATTGCCCCGGGCGATCTCGAGTAAGAAGAATTTTAGTAACTTGCATTCAGCTACTTTTGTTACAGTTTTTGCACATAATTTGGTCCATGCCTACAAATTTCGCATTTTTCAAAAAACCGCAGGGTATATTTATAGACGAGTGATCTCGGAGGGTATATTTTATCGATTTTTGAAAATCGAAATTTGTATTTTTTCTGGCTTCGTTTGGAACTGGTCTGGTAAGACATTGTCCCCAGGGCTCTTCTCGCCGTTCTTTACTTTTCTTCGTGCCTTATTTTCCCGCCCGTTTAGACTTTCCCTCGCCCCCACTATCTGCCCCTGGGTCTCCGAGGATGCAGTATACAAAGCGCTGAGGGTGTTCATGTCTAGACGTTACGTGACGGGAATCCCTTCTCACGGCTATTTTCACCGTACCAAAATTATCATATCTCGGTGAGCATTCGGAAGTCAGCCAAGCGCGGTCATTGCACGCGTGCTGAACAAGAATGCTGTATCATAACAGACTAGAAACAATAGAAAACTCCCAAAGCACAAACTCAGCCAAAACGCTAAAAATCTTCAATGTTTACTCAAGCTTGGGCTTATGGAAATTCAGAATCCGGGTAGTTAGTTAATCAATTGTGGCCCTGAAAAAATTTGAAGGAAAAAAGACTACGAATTTTTAAGAAAATGCTTTTTTCGTGAGAAGGACTCTTAAACGCTGACAAACGTCAACAAATAGCTAAAACTATAATTTCTATATGTTTGCATTGCTCGAAATCGCGCGCATTTACAAGGCCCTAAAGCTTTTTGCTGACTTGCAAGGACCCATCTGTTATAACGATCCCCAAAATAAAGGGATAAATCTCATAGTTTATTAGATATAATCGTGTAAAGTTTGCTTATCATTTTCGCATAAATTATGACCTAAATTTGGAAACCGCTGAATTTCTCGCATTGGGTCTTTGCGATTTTGGTGAAACTCTGTTCAACGCAAGGCACTAATACCCACTATATGTAGCCGAGAGATTTTCATGAAAAAATGCCGGCAACAGCAGAATTTCGACTCAGACCCCAAAAAGGCGTGGCACTATAACCACGTGACATTTACTCCGATCGCCAAAAATTTTATGCTGTATTGTAGATTGATCTTTTTGTTATCCATGCTATATGTTAGACTTACGATCAAAGTAAAGGTGGGGATACCAGAGAGCTTCAAAGTAGGATGGTACCCTCAAAAAAACCGTCCTTCCACTTTTTGGTAGGTACCTCATATATGATTATCATAGTGACAGTGTACCTTATTAAGCCATATATAGCTCAACATGGCCTTACATACATGTAGCCCAACATAGCCATACATAGCTCTGCATAGCCAGCCATACATAGCCATTCATAGCCATATGTAGCATGTTTATGGCTATGTATGGATATGTTTGTGGGTGTATGGCTGTGTATGGCTATATAGGGCTATGCATGGCTATGTTGGGTTCCGTAGGTCGTTGTATGGCTATGTATTACTACATTGGGCTATGTAAGGATATGTAGGGCTATAATTATATGATACACCATAATGATCATATACAAGGTACCTACCATGGAGGAGTGGAATAAAGTGAGCGGCAGGAAAAAAAAAGTCAGCAGCGGATAAAAACTGAGGAGCAGGAAACAAAAAGTGACTAGCAAAAAAGTGAGAAGCCAAGGAAAGTGAGCAGTGGACAAAAACAGAAAACAAAATAGGAGAGAAGAAATTCATGTCCCTTTGAAAGCACCGTACAATAGTATGACCTAGGAAACAGAATGACTTTCAACAGGACTTTGCTGTTTAGTTTCTTTCGGTTCATTATTATAGGCTTAAGCTATGGTTTCCCAGTTACTAATCAGATCCCCTCCCCCACACCCATTCTTTCTTCTTTTCCCCTAAATCCTATTTTGTCTTGTGGCAAAGCTAATAAAATAAAATAAAATTGATCACATGGTACAAACCTGACATGTTCAACTGCTAATGCTGTCTCATCCCACTGCCCTGACTCATCATAAACTGGGAACAACTCAATCAAAGGAACAGAATTCTTGTGATGAAGGAGATATACATTTATACCTTCTGTGTCTATGATGCTCAGTGTGTCTGAGACCAGAGGCTCACAGATGCTAATTTCAGCTGTTAAGCTACTAAAATTAACATTTGACACCTGTCAATCAATTAAAACAGAACATTAGTTATGCTTTTTTTTTACTAACTTAGTTTTTGTACCACAGGAAAGGGCATGGGAAAAATATTTTTGCATGAATTAAGGAGGCTTGCACCCAGTTTGCAAGGTCTCACCCCTTCATTTGTTATGCTCCATAACTTTGGCTTTAGTGCATGTACAAAAAAACACGAAACAACATATCTAACATTGAAGAAAATTTTAGACTATGTTTTGTTGACATCACCACTTCCATTGCAACAGAATAACAATGATGTGAAATCTTGGGAAACTGTGAATTTTCTTGAAATCTAGTAAAATCCTCCAGTGTGCTAATAGTATGGACTGAAATATAATGTTTCAAACATTTTGCATCCCAAAAAATGTCTTTTTCACTTTTTGTTTCTTTAATTATTAAAAATGATGATTTACAGTGCCCGTAACAATCCAAATTTATATACCTGGCTTTTATTTCTTTCAAGATAAAAGATATATTTGCTCATGTAAGCACAAAAAGGTGTCATCTTTGGTTTTAAAGCAACAGTTTAAAAATTACTCTGTAATTTTAAAAAAAATCGGTTCTTTGAGAGCTTAATCATTGCTAAGCATTTTAGTGAAATTTGAAAGCCATGGAAAATTTCAACATTACAGAAATAGTATCGAATTCATGGTGAATCTTTGTGCCTGGCTTTGTAAAGGCCATTGCTTGCTTGTTAGTTTCCCTACATTTGCATGCAGAATGCCAGACCACACGACTTCCGGTGCCCAATTTGCTGCTCTGCCATTCATCAAGCCAGTTGTTGAATTTGTTCCTGTTCTGTTGCTAAATCAGCCTAGTATTGCCATCAAGCACCATTGTTATCAATCTCCAGCATTTTACTAACTTTGGCATGTCTTTGTTTATTCCTGAACCTTTTCCATATTCTCATACATTTCCTCCAAATTCAAACATTACAAAGGTTCACTCAGTTAGTGTGGGCTTCCTGTGCTCAGGAGTAGCAAATCATGTACAGGCCTCCCTCAAAGGTGAATACTTATCCAAAACACCAACATTTTCAAAAAATGCTAATCTCTTGAAGTGATCCACTCTGACTACATGATCACTTTCAAGAGTTATTGATTAATATTGTTTTGCTGTTTTTAACCTGCAGTTAATGACCAGCTGAATATGTCTGATCATCTACAGGTTTGGGATGCCACAAATAATTTGTTATTTTTTTGTATATACTCTGGAACTCAGAGGCACTATTCATTCAGATAACTTTCATGTTCATCTTGTCGTTATGAGTGGTCACTTAAGGATGGTTTAACTGAAATTAATTTGACTTGCCCCCTGTAAAAAAATCATCCCAGGGGAAGAGGGTCTGCACCCACTATGGCAAGCAACTGTAGGACAACTTGGGGTTGCCAAGGTTGAAGGGGAGCTGACAGGGGAAGGAAATGTAATAGTTTCAATCAACTCAGCCTGCCGTCAACTGTATACATTAAGTGGAACCATCATTCATGTTTACATAAACTTTGGGAGGAAGCATGGCCAAATGGTCACCGTGTTGTGCTTGCACTGTGGCAGTCCCGTGTTTGAGTTCCACTTTTGCCACTTGCTGGGATTGTACTCGGTCGTCCCAAGTCCAAATTCTCATCCACGCTTGTAAATAGCCAACTGGTTGCCTCCTGCCAGTTGGGGTTTTTAATCCTGTTATGCTGTATTTGAATTATTTGTTTCTATTAAGCTTATTTGTATGGAGTGCCTGTAAACAAGCTGGATAAGCTAGGTAAGTACATTTGCCACTGTAAACAAACTTTTTTAAAATCATGAACACAAACTTAACTCAGTAAGGGTAGATTAATAGAAACTGCAGGAAAAAATAAAAATGGCGAAATGACAAAAACCCCAGCCAGTAGTATTAAAAACAAAACAACATGGCCATTGTACCGTTACTGCTTTAATTGCATGCCAAGGTCGATCGACTGAAATAAACATCACTTACAATAGGCCAGTTGTAACAGTAAATATACCAGTTTTAGTGAAAACATATCCAGACGATGTTGCAGTTATTACCTGTACAAGTAGGTCAAATGGTTGATGATGTCCGCTGGATTTAGGTGTACTTCTCCAAACTGCCTGCCAACCACTCGCCTCCACATTTTGAGCAACATACTTTACTATTCTGTCTGACACTTCATCTGGTTTGCACGAGCCTAATATATCGTCATAAACGCATTTGCGATCGTCAAAAGGTAAGTCTGCGGTATGAAATATCATTGGCAAAGACATGTTCTCCCTGCTTCAAGTTTCGCGCGTAAACAAACCTAAAATGGCGGCGCGGTGAACTCTTTCCCGGCCCAGGTCTCCCCTGTCTATAAAGAGGCGAGGTAGCCTCGGTGTCACAGTGCGAGTGATACGGGCATTCCCGCGTTTTGGTCACTAAGTGCCGGGAGCCCGGGGTTTCCTCCGGCTACTCAGAGCAGGGCCCCCGCTACTTTCGTCCTTAAATTAAACCAAAAGAGCACACCTTTGAAACACACAAAGACTATCCATCAAGCTAAATGCAAGTTTCATCTGCAGCAGGTTAAGTAATTTTGATATACTCGCGTGCAAAAACTAAGAAATGTCGGAAAAACACATCTGACTTAGATTTGGCGTCTAAACTGGGGTACAAAATAATAGACCCTCGTTACGCTTGTTTTAGCCTTATCATACTTTTATTTTTCAACAAACCATGGTAACAAACCATAGTAACCTTATGTTTATGATGCTTTTTCGTACATTCATCGTCCGCTTGTCTTCTTTCCGCTTCTCCGTGGGTTAATTCATTTGTCATATTAGTTTTACTTTTGTTTTCCGTAAGTTCTTGTTTCGTTCTTAGGTATAACTAAATGAGGATTTACAATTGATTTTACAGCGCATGTTAATTCATTTGCACCATATAATAATCCATTGTCCTTTCCACATTTTTAACATTTGTAAACTATCGTTGTGATTTAACACTTCACTGGCCAGCATGCGCCTTGTCTGCGTGAAGATAAGACTGCACGGATAACGTGTCCGGTGCCTACCTGTCATTTTTTTCAGACCCGGTGCTTACATGTATATTTTCATTTGGCGGCCACTAAAAAAACTCTCCAACGAGCTTTTACGTAAAGTAAAAACTTTTTATTTTAGTGTCTCAGAATTTTGTAGTTTTCTTTAATAAAGACGTGATCATCATAAAACCGCTAATGATAGCTGTACTCTTGATAAAGATTGCTTTTTTGGGGCGGTAATGCCTTTTGGAAAACGGTAGAGGCTGCACTTCAAAAACTTGCGACTTCCCCGGCTACTAACAACAAATACCCGGCAACTTGAAATCTTAGTGACAACCCTGCCGTCCCCATACCCAAAACCTTAGTGACATGGGCATCCCCTGTAACCTTGACCCTAACCCAAATCGCTAGGGTGATATGTAAGCCCGCGTAACAGGTGCTTCGAAGTAGAGGGCGAAAGAGAGAACGGGCGCTCGTGTCTCCTTCTCACGCGCCCGTTTTTTCTTGCGCCCACTACTTCCATACGCAGCCTAGTGATATGTGAGGGGGATGTCCGTATCACTAGGGACGCCAAAAAAACGGGGATACCCATATCACTGTAACATCGGGTCCAATCGTAGATAAAGAACGAGAAGTCCGAAGACTACAGCAAAGCTGATTTGAAACGTGTATTGTTTTTTATAACAATATTTCGGCTGGCCATACCAGCCTTCTTCAGGTTTACAGATGTTACTGAACTTATGTAGCAATCACAATATTATATAGATGGAGAATGTCGCAATAAAAGGGTGAGGCGGAAATGATGTACAACATAAAAACTGGAAAGGAAAAATACTAAGGATATGGATTACAATAATTCGTCACGGCGGTTTAGGCCATGAGGTTCAAGAGTCATGGCCTTATCTATCAAATGCGACTCCCTGGCCTTACGAACTGAGTCACGTTCTCTAGAGATCCAACGTTTACAACTAGCAGGATCTTCGTCCACGGTTTTTGCAGTTAATTTAATCCAATCGTAGATGACGCCCTGGAACAGGCTGGGGGCGGGGGGGGAGCAGGGGTTGGTTAGGGGTAGGGAGGGGGACTGGTGTTGGCGCGGTGCTAACTCCCGCAAAATGCAGCATGCTTCCTGCCTCCTGAAACCTTAATAAATTACCCAATTTCATCTAAAAACACAAGATGTAACTCCCAAGCGTCTAAATTCGATACCAAGGTTTTAGGCAATACCAAGAGCCATAATGGGATCATTATGGCTCTTGACAATACTGAGTAAAAGACCACACCCTTCAGCGTCAGCGCTACACTCACCTAAAGTAAAGACAAAGTACGACAATGTTTGTTTGGAGTCTAAAAGCGAACTAGTGCATCTAACTCATCAAAAAAAATTTGAAGTAACAAAGTGGTATAAAAAGGTCTCGTCATGAAAGATTTTGTTCATACGGTGGTTAAAAGAACAAAACATCAACGAAACGCTTCACCAAAAGAGCTTGTACGCACTGCGACACGCATTTCTAGTGCAAGGATGTGAAACACGATTGATTCAGGGTTCGTGTAAACAGACAGCTTATTCAGTTTTAAAGAACCTTCTTGAAAGAAGTGTGAAGTACAGTAAAGACCCGCCACTACGGAACCTGGGTTTTAAGAACCTGTTAAGCTTAAATTTGCCAGTTACGTTCCCGATCTCTCTAGAACCGGTTTAGCCTAAAATTATCTAAAATCTATAAAAAAATCTGTACGGATAAGTCAACATTCAGGATCCTCTTTAGAGACATAACTGCCTTATTACTCCAACAGCAATTGTTATGGTATACGGGTTTTAACTAAGGAATGAGCTGAATACTACTAAATACTCTTAGCTACAATGTTTTTTTCTTCAGAAAATAATAAGCTATTAAGAACCTAAATAACCTAAATTTGTGCTAATTACCTCTTAAGAAAGCCTGTTTAGGCAAACTGGGGAAAAAAGAGGTTGCTAGTCGCGGGCTTTTACTGTATTTTGCCTAAATCATGCAAATGAGGTACAGACACGCAAAAACCACCAGCGTGTTTGTGGTCTTTTTAATACTTATTGCTGCCTTCCCTCTGAAATACGACCACGAGGGTATATGTGTAAGACCTCACACTTTCTACTGGCCGGGTTTGGAGTTGCTTACGCATTTCACTGGCTGGAATATTAGGATATTTGGTTGTTTCTCGTCTTCAGTGAACTTTTGGACTGAGAGCCCTATTTGCATAAGGAACAATGTCGCGTTACTACCTAGAGTCGAAGTATTGTTTCGCTCTTCATGGAACAGTGATCTCTCTAATGGTGTTGTTCACACCAATCTGTTTAATGGCTCTGCTTGTATTACATTCTTCCGACGCCCATGGATCAGCTACTACGTTCCACCCGAGTTCCTGGGAATTTTGAATATGCTTGATTTCTCATGCCGGTTACGCCTACGTAGGCACCGGTGTCCAATAGCCTACTATGCAAATTCATGTGCCTCATTCCATCAAGTGCTTATTGGCGATCTGGTCTTCAAACTTAATCCAGGTCCTGAGGGATGCGGTATATCAACAATTGTAAAATCACGTCATCAAAATAATGGAACTTTACGGGCGCCTCAATCACGTCCTTCATTGTCTAAATCAACAACTAGGAATGTCTCAAACTTTACTAAGGTGCATTGTTTGTCTGCCAACTACGTGAATGGGGTCTTTTTGTCTTTTTGTCACATGAATTCCCAGTCGGTTCGCAACAAGACAGCCGATTTTGTAGATTACGTCTGTGAACGTAAATATGACTTGGTTGTGATTACCGAGACGTGGCTCCAGCCCCATGATGATGCGCTAAGAACAGAACTGTGTCCTCCTGGTTACAAGTTTATTGACTTTCCACGACGAGAACGGATAGGTGGAGGCATTGGACTACTGTACAAGGATTCACTTCGTGTCAGCATGATTCGAGATGGAATTCAAGAGTCGCTTGAGTTTTGCGAGTTGTTGGTCCAAACGTCGACTTCCCGCAAGATACGGCTTGTGATCGTCTACCGTCCACAGAATTCTGATGACCACCGCAGGGTTCCCATTAATACTTTTCTGATGGAGTTTTCTGACCTGATGGAGTCCACTATTCTATCCAAAGAGCCTTTGATTGTCGTTGGTGATTACAACATACATGTGGATGTTCCTAATGACACTGATGCACTTAAGTTTTTAGATCTGCTTGAGTCTCTCGGTTTGGAGCAGCATGTGACAGAGCCAACGCACATACGTGGTCACACCCTGGATCTTGTTATAACAAGAAAGATTGAGGATATTCTGGCGAGTCCACCACGCGCCTGTCGCTATTTCTCCGATCATGCAGCTGTACATTGTGATGTTGCCATAAGTAAGCCTTCATTTCAGACTAGGATAATAAAGTTTAGGAAAACTAAATCCTTGGACGCTGAGAGCCTATCGACAGATGTAGTACTTACAGGGCTATGTGATCGAGGTAATAGCGATCTCATCACCCCACTGGATTTGGATGTACTTGTAGAGGATTACACGACCACACTCTCTCAAGTTCTTGATCGTCATGCACCTTTAAAAACCAAAACAGTGCGGGCTAGGCCCAAGGTACCCTGGTATACCAGTGAGATAGCGGAGGCAAAAAGGCGACGCCGGAAAGCAGAACGGAGATGGAGAAGAACACGATCACAGGAAGATTTGTTGGCATTCAAGAAACTCAAGAACCACGTTACTTATTTAAGTACACGGGCTAAGCGTGCTTTCTACTCAGACTTTGTGAATGACAATAGTGAAGACCAAGGAAAGCTATTCAGGGCCACTCGATCATTGTTACTTCCGAGGAATGAGTTGTGTTTTCCAGAATACACGGACAACTCAATCTTAGCCAACGATATCGGGCGGTTTTTCGACCGTAAGATTGCAAAGATTCGGGCAGAGCTTGATGCGTGCACTCGTCATCCTGGGGCGGTGGCTGAGGATAAAGTGTTTAGAGGCGATACGAAAATTGATCATTTCAATACGTACTCTGTGGAAGATATGAGGAAGCTGGTCGGTAGATCATCGAAGAAAAGCTGTCAACTTGATCCTATGCCGACCAATTTAGTAGTCGGCATGTCTGATATGCTTCTCCCCATCATCACTAATGTCGTGAATTCTTCACTTTCCTTGGGACACTTTCCATCTGATTGGAAAACGGCCCTTGTGGATCCAAGACTAAAGAAGACCAAGCAAGGGACTTCCTTATACAATTTAAGACCTGTGACTAATCTGCAATACCTCTCTAAATTGGTTGAAAGGGCAGTTTATGATCAGACAACCGATCACGTTACTCAGTCGGGCTTGTATCCCATCCTCCAGTCAGCCTATCGACTGGGTCATAGCACAGAGACTGCCCTATTGAAGATACAGAATGACATACTAGCTGCAATGGACAATCAACGAGTTACTCTCTTGGTATTGCTAGACCTGAGTGCAGCATTCGACACGATTGACCACCAAGTTTTGTTGAATCGCCTGTACGTGACGTATGGAATTACAGGTACCGCTCTTAAATGGTTTCACTCGTATTTATCAAACAGGAAACAGCGAATCCTGATTAACGGGAGCTATTCGAGTGACTTTGATCTGCCTCAAGGGGTACCTCAAGGATCATGTCTAGGTCCCTTGCTCTTCACGTTGTACGCAAGTAAGCTCTTCGATGTTGTTGAATCCCATCTCCCTAACGTTCACGCATACGCTGATGATACGCAGCTCTATATCTCATTTAAGCCGGATGGTTCTGCTACTGAGACGGATGCTGTTGACGCTTTACAGGCTTGCATCAGGGACATAAGAACCTGGATGGTCCAAGACAAACTTCGGCTGAACGATGCTAAGACCGAGTTTCTTATTATAGGTACACGCGCACAGTTAAATAAGGTTACGATAAGTGACTTGCAAGTAGGTGAGGTAAAGGTTTCTGCTGTCTACTCTGTTAGAAATCTGGGTGCTTGGTTTGATGCAAACATGAATATGACCACACATATTAACAGCATATGTCAGGATATTTATTACCATCTACATAACATCCGGCGTATTAGAAAGTATTTATCATATGACAATAGGAAGTCCATTGTACAGGCTATTATAATGTCACGATTAGACTATTGTAACGGTCTATTATATGGTACGCCCGCTGTTCATCTTGGTAAGCTGCAACGCCTGCAGAACGCGGCAGCTCGGCTGGTATGTACTGTATCTAGGTATGATCCTATCACACCATCCCTGATCAACCTGCACTGGCTTCCGGTTACCCACAGAATAGAATTCAAGATAGCAATGCTAGTTCACAAATGTATCTACGGCGTCGCACCACAATATCTTTTAGACTTGATAAAAATCAAAGAGAGCTCGCGGTATCAGTTGAGATCATACCTATAGAACAAAAAAGACACTCGGGGAAAGGGCGTTTGAAAATGCTGCGCCCAAAGTATGGAACCGACTCGCTCTAGAAATTAGACAATGTCAATCATTGAAAATTTTTAAAGTTTTACTAAAGACACATCTTTTTAAATTAGCTTGTTATTAGTTCTTTTATTAACTCATATTTTACTTTTATTGTTTTCCGAAAATTGTAAATTATTATTATTAATATCATTATTTGGATTAGCCATTTAAAACTTTAAGATTTTACTGTTGTAATGCGCATTCGATCATATCTTTATCGCATGCTAGACTGCGCAATATAAGAAATAAACATTATTATTATTATTATTAAAAAGTAGGGTTCTGAAACAGACCAACAAACAAACGCAGGAACTAAACCAATGTTTTGGACAAAACAAACGTATTCTTGCCCAATGTCAGGCTTTGGACAAAGTTATCAAGCCAACCACCAGGTATTAACCCATTTACCGGCCTTACCCGTTTAAAGACTTGCCCCCCCCAGCAACGATTTTCAAGATCGGCAATGAAAGTATACAACGTAGCCACAATTTGTTTGAACATTTAAAATCAGTTTGGGATATGCGGGTTCTTGATTCTTAAATAGCTCTAAGAAGGTTCATCTTGCGATTAAAAGTTCGCACTGAATAAAATATTTAAGCAAACGTCACAACGATGACAGAGATATAATTTGATGAAAGAGAAGACTCTTCCGACGACTTAGTAGTTCAAAATATTTCTGCGTTTCTGATTGGCTTAATAAAATAATTACAATTCGCAACAGGACGTAGTTGCCGCCGAAATTGAGTGGACCAACCTGCAACCCGTATTACTAAATGCGTCGCTATTACAAAATGCTGCAGAACACAAAGATCTTTCTTGTGTTTTGGGTTCCCCACTCAAACCCCAGTGATATGGATATCTCCTTCTCAAAGGCATCACTAGATATATTCTTTCCTCTGTTCACCACAAGAAAAAAAATTCACCACATAATATTTCTGTCAAGAAAGAATTCCTTCACAGTTATTTATTACTATTATTATTTGTTTCTCTCATCTAGGATATTTATCTAGGTCAGGTAATACACTGCTTAAGTTCTTGTCCACATATTCCATTATAACTGTACTTCCATTCAACAGAGGCTCGTTATCATGTGTTAGCAAATACTCCAAAGTATCTTGCAAAGTCAGCAATTCACCAGTGTTTCGATTAATTAATCGCAACTTCTAAAAAAAAAAAAACAAGAAAAAATAAAATAAAGTTAGTCATTGACAATTTTACCATAATCAACACTTTCGTGATGTAATACTTTTAGCTTCCGATTTTATCGCGAAGCCACTATAGTCTTCTCGGAGAGTTTTGTCACGTTAGGTTCGCACTACTAAGATATGAGTGAAATAGGGCCGCTTCAAACACGCATGTATCTGATGTATTGCTCCCCTGGAAGTGGGACGAACGTTTGAACTCATTTAAACGTGTTCCAGTATAATCCGAAATAATCCGATACTGTAGAGCAAGGCCAGTATTCAAACGGATCCAATACGTTACATCCAACTATGTTGGATGGAGTTAGACAAAGATGTCAAAGATGTAAGATGAGTTATATATTGATATAACCAAATATCAATAAATGCAATAAATTTTGAAAGCGTTGTTTTGCAATGACGTATGTTAAACGACCGTTAAGTCTCTTTAACCACGTTCAAAATCAGTGCGTATTTTCGGCAAAAAAAATCTCCATAACTTCCGGTACTAAGTCTCACCAGGGGCGTAGCTGCCTTTAAGCCATTAAGCCCGGGCTTAACAAGAATCTGAGGCAAAAATAAGTGCAGGTTATCACGTCTTCATTAAATAGTTTATCAATAACATTAGTTCTCGATCGAGCTAAAAATGGAAAATTCTAGAGCCAAAAGTCTGCGGTTGGCAATACTGCAATTGCTGTCCGCAGAGAGCAGTTTACATTTTCCGTTCTTAATCTCCACCTAAATTTCTTGAAGTTACATTGTTCCGTTATCTCGCTGTTTCGCTATCTATGAGCAGTTCTCACTCAGGCCCCGCCGCTTAGGAAGCCTAGTCCAGGCCCGGCTCTACTTCTTTTTCTACTAACTAACTTAATTTTATAGTTTCATGACAAGTTTACAGAGACGTTTGTGAAGCCAAAGATCACTCAGTACCAACAGGAGGGTAAAAACGAACATACGATCCACGATGCTAACAGATTGGCTATCATCCTTAGCCCTCTTGCACGCGCCTAAAGAGATGCTCATTGACTGCGAAAGAGTACTCTGAGATTTTCGTACAGAAAATAAAAAAAAACTTGCATTTAGTGACGGTTAGTAGACAATTAACGCTGACGTTCAGATTTTCTTCCCAGAGCTTATTATGGCATTCATTTTCGGAAAACGGCTCGTTCAGCGGTATTTCATTTTTGTCTAATGTTATATAAAAAATGTGCAATCAGTACAGGGTCAACGATAAATTTTGCAAGTTACCATTCGCGCGCGACTTTGGCAAAAAAGTTGATATCAGGAAAATTAGTGTTCTGAATCATTTTAAGCAAGCTCTAAAGGGACACCTATCTTAGTTGAAAATGCCTTTTACCGATGCACTTCACATTTTTGTTCTTTATGCGTCTGGATTGTATTTCTAATTATTATTACCTTGGTCAGTTCTTTAGTTTATTTTAATGTCTTCAAACGCGCATTTCAAAACGTATGTTAAATTTGTGCCATACAAACAAATATCAGTACATGTAATCATCATCATCATCATCATCATCATTTTATTCTTATCATTGTTGATTTCTTATTATTATTATTATCATTGTTATTATTATTATTATTATTATTATTATTATTATTATTATTATTGTTATTATTACTATTACTATTACTATTATTACTATTATTATCACTATTACTATTATTATTACTCCTTTTAACATCCTGGGCTTAAACGGAAAAATGCCTGGCTACGCCCCTGCGGCCATTGTTTATGGCACCATCTACATTCAAACGAAAAACATATTTATACATTGCACTTAAAAGCCTTCTTCCCATAACACACCAGAGATAATCCCTCCTCTCATACTAGGTATTCACCATCAGAGAACAGGTACATTGTGGAACAGTATCTTCGTCTATTCGGCTTATACCTCAAAACGATTAACCTCTAAATTTTCATCCTTTTTAAGCCAACGTACACGTTTTGAAATCCGCCCAAAACCGTTGTAAAGACATATTCAACATCTTCGAAAACACAATTGCAACTCAGAAGAAACGCACTTCTTTAGACCTTCAGCATTCAAAAAGAGTAAGTGGAAAGGCAAAACTGTGTCGTTAAAAATCATGGTTTCCTTCAGTAACACATTCTTCGGCTAACGCTATTGATTAACGCTGGGACAAACATTAAGAAAACTGGCATAACCTCCTTCAAACAACTGACAGCAAAGAAAAGCAAAGCACACCTTACCTTCTCTGTTACATTTACATTATTTTCATTCTTTAGCTTGGCAGCCACGGCAATCTTATCAATGATCTTGCCAATGGTCCAATACTGGCGGAGAACAGTAAGCACGGTCAGTTTTAATAGAATTAAGACTTTCGAAGAAAAATGATAACGGCTCGCCATTGTAAATTTTATATTTTGAAGAAAAAACCTGTTTTCTGAAAACTATGAGCAGGGCCTAGAATTTTATATTCCATAAATAAAAATTTGAAATGTAATAGCGGAGCTCTCGCGCGCGAAGCGCGCGCAGCGGAGCACCATGGGTAAGAAAATGTGGTAAACTACCCATCCGAGAAAATTTGGTAATCACGTGACCGTACACCGACCGACCGCCCGCCCGTTCGTCCGCACCACAGGCATACCAATGTAAAATAATTCAATCAACAGGTATGGCAACCCAAATGCAACTCAAGGTTTTATTTAGAAAGAAATCGCATGGCCATCCGGACTTTTAGAAAGAAAAAACAACACAAAGTCGTGTCTTTTTCGACGTTATTTTTGATGTTTACACTCACGTGGATAACAGACAAAGAGCTAAAGCGAGTGATTGAAAACAAAAGAGACGAATTTTTAAGGAAGAAAAACATGAAAATTCAAAGCGGCTGTGAGACAATGAGAAATGCTAGCGACCAGCAAGGTAAAAATAAGCGGAGTGAAAAATAAAAGCGAACATGAACACAGGAGACAAAATAGTGGGTAAGCACATACGACAATTCCTCCATAAAAATAATGTGTAACTAGGATGTATGACGTTTTAGTCCTACAAAACAGCGTTGTAGTTGCGCAAAACAACGGCAAAGAAAGACAAAAAGCGTGCACGTGCAAATTTGTTTCTTTTTTGCTAATTAGAAAGAAATGTGTGCTGCGCGTGCAATTTGTTTTTTTTGCTAATTCGATCTATTGATCTTGATGCCATTTTCATTGCCCTCCCCGTTTAGCATTACACGATTTAATTTTTTTTTGTTTACAAGTATTATTAACCAGAGCTTCGCTTTTAGCCCTGGCTAAATCTATATATTAAAACCGAACTAACCAATCAAATTGCTTCAATGCGATGAAAAAGACATGCCATGACAGAGGAAACAAACTGAACATTATTTATTACGTCCTTTCTAATAAGAAGTGCGTTGAGCAATAGACTCAAACAGCATAATGAAATTCCAAATTTCGTTCTTTCGAATTGACGTTAACCAGTCAAAAGGAAGCCACTGTAAATCACCGCACGGTACCGTTATTATTTTCGCCCATTCTCTCTCGATATCAGCTGCTTACCTTTGAGAAAAACATGGGCTGTTCTCTTTCTTTGTTACCCAAAGGCATTAAAACTCTGAGATAAACACGTTCATCCTGGAAATTAAGGAAAGAACTGTCTGTAATATTCCCGAGTTCACTATTCAAACAGTTACAGCATGTACTGGCCTAATAGAGGAGACAAATAGCCAACAGCTTAACATCACCACCTAAGGACGCGATCATCTGAACTGAGAAGGGGTTTTAATAACATGATCTCGGCACCAGTTTATCAAAAACCTTGGTTGGTGATCTGGCGGCTGGAGTTTGATCTCACGGCCTTTCACTCTCAGCAGCCTGGCACTCTGACAACTGAGCTAACTGGATGGCGGTCTCAGATTCATGAAAAGTAAACAAAGCTCAGTTTGGATTCACCTCTGACTTAAGAATACTCTAGACTTTAAGACTATGTAACTTTCATCAAAGTTTCTATCCTAGGAAGTTCATAACAAAGTTATGTCAACAACCGCCAGTCATTGAAAGATCACCGGAATGAGTTTTTCAGTGTTTCTTGGTGTTGCGTTATAGAAGCTGCGTAAAGTGAAACTCTTTATTGATTTGGATAGTAAACTTATTTCACAGACCTGCGGGACTGAAGGATCTCCGGTTGCTTTCATCTTGATCTTCATCAATGTCACCTTAGCCGCCCGTCGTTCATTTCGCATTCCACCTGGCCCTAAAAACCACAGACAGCATAACATGAAGTAAGATATTTGACATGAGTAAATTAATTCTATATAAAAGTAGCGTAACGTATAAAATATGTGAAAATGAATTAATCAGCATGTCACATTCAGAAACAAAATTGTTGAGACACTGTCCTCAAATAGAGTGACTTTGGAGAACAAAGCAATCCAAATCCCTCCCCCCCCCCCCCTTCATTCAAAGCTGGGGTGTTTGTTGTTATTTATAGTTAACTTGAACAGTGGAGGTGATGGGGGAGGGAAAACTTCATTTCCCCTTTTGAAAGTCGGCAAAACATCAGAAAGTCCCCTTAAGATAAAGTGTCTCAATTTTAGTCTCAATTAATTTTGTCACCATTTGTAGCCAGCAGCATCATTACTAGGTCATTTACCTAATAAGTGCTAATTGCAAAACCAGTACCTTTCTTTTCTTTATTAAGTTCTTTACCTAAAGGGTTAGAAAAATAATCATGACATTACAGTATGAAAAATGAAACACATAGAAAATCAATGTTTTCTAATTTATTTGGATTAATGTAATTGGGACCTCAGATGCCATCAGCTGTTTCAGCATCTAGGCAAAGAAGACGCTGAATTCAATAGCTTCAACAAGCACCAATTATCATATTCCCAGAGGTCAGCTTCAGACTTCACACTAACCAAATGGATACCCACAGACAAGCAGGAAGCACAACATCCAATCAGTATAGGACCATGGAGGGGACAAGAAAAAATGAATAACACGGATAAAGTATTGATTACCATGGACACTGAAATGCACTCATGACTAACATCCATGCTGCCACTGTGCCACTAATAATTCCATGTTACTTATCCCTCTCATTACTTGATGAACGGAAAGTAGAACTTGTGTTTCACATAAGTACATGTTCCCACAAATAGCGTTACTTCTCAGCCATACAAACTATCATCCCTACCAACCATTTATCAAAGTCAAAGGGATTTTATTCACAAGGATGACACAACAGCCCAGTGGCGGATCCAGGGGAGGGGGGCAGGGGGCCCAGGCTCCCCCCTTATACTTTGACCAAAATGGGGCCCAAAGGGCCGGAAAAAAATATTTTGAGACTGCCCCCCCCCCTTATCTCTGGGTTTGGATGACCGGCACGTCCCCTCCCCCCCCTTATCTGAAGGACTGGATCTGCCACTGCATCCTATGAGGAGATCAAGACCCAGGTAAATGTATTCCAAATACACTGCAGACATTTCATTTCCACTTCACTAAAATAAGAATCTACTCCACAATAATGTCAAATTTTGTGCCTGTGTTACCCTCTCTCATTTGTTTTTCACTATAGGCATAAACATTCACCAATAATTTCCTTTATTCTGTCCTCTGGTTTTATCCTTGCCTGCTTATCAGGAAGAGCTGAGCATTTATGATCAGTTTGATGTCTGTGCCTGTGGTAGAACAAAAACATTATTAGTAAATTGTATCAGTTGGCACCTAAGCATGATCATGAACCATTATCAATAATTTAATGATGGTCAACATCCATTCATTTTGACATAATAATATGATCTTGACATAATATTTTATTTTAAAAACTAAGAACTGAAAAAACTTACTACCCATTTGCTAGTATAGAAAATGAAGCTTTGAGATATATATTGGTACCTGGTCCTGTAACAGTCAAACTTTGTATAGTTTTCAGCTAAAGAAGCTATCAGCAACAACCAGTTAACAGTAGTGACTTAGTGATTATTCCTGTGAAAACCTAGCTGTCACAGCTAGGTTGGTGTTCAGATACTAAGCCAAAAAAGTTTGGCATAAGCCTTTGAAACACATGGTCAAACTTGAGTCACAAAAGTTTCCTGGCAGCTAGCTGTTTCATACAGTGATAACACCAGTTCAAAGACAAAAAAAATGACAATTATGACAAAAAAGAATTCCATTACCTTACACAGTAATTATTATGACAGTGTTCACACAACACAGGCACCAAGTCACGACTTCTGCAGTCTTCAATAGCACACTCCTGGTACTCTGATGACAAAGCCCCACATTTTGCCATATTTCCCTTTCAACAAGTATTGAAACACATGTTGTGCATTTTTCACAAAGATAAGTTTTTCATAAAATATGGTCAAAGATACCAGTAAATAATACAATACTTTCTTATACCCCTTCTTCAAAAGAACTTTTATTAATTTATCTACAATGCAACAGTGACTGTTGTAATTACATATACCCAAAAAGCTTGCAGAATACTTTATTTCGTGTTGGGCTATGGTCTGTCAGGGAGAGCACCCTGGTTCAACAAGAAAAACTACAAGAGAATAATACACAAAGGTGAGATGCCATACTGTTCATTGTAATTATTATTTACCTGATCTTCCTGGTCATTACTGGTGCAGCTGTGTGATGTCTTTGCTCGATGATCCTTACTGCAAAATCAAGTAACTTGAATTGATGTCAAGTCCTGATTATACAAGATATATGGAGTTTCTAACTTGATGGAAATGTATGTGTCCATAGATTAGATCAATATCAGCAAATAAACACAAGAAAAAAGAAAGCCCACTTAACTGGGGAGGAAAGATATTAAAGAAAAGAGCTTATCATATAAACTGCAGTGTTTTACAAGGATTTCTACCACCGAGAAATGTGGTATCTGAACACACGTAAAAATACGATATTTTTACATGTGAAGATATCGATAATTTCACTGACATCAGGTTTGTCTCTTAAATTGTACTTAAATTCGTTGGTGTATCATCGAAACATCTTCGGGTCTTCCTAGAAAGTGCTCGGCAATCTTCGGAAATCTTCGGACATTTTCGGAAATTCTCGGAAAACGTTCGGGAACGTTCGTCTGGTCTTCGGGACAATTTGAAAAATCTTCGGAAATCTTCGGAAGGTGGTCGGAAATCTTCGGAAAATCATCAAAAACGCCATCATCAGTATGTTTATATAATAAAAAGAATATTACACGTTAGCTCGAAGATATGAATTTGATGTTCTCGTGGCAAGAGCAATATCTCACTCGTTCGCTGCGCTCACTCGTGAGATATTGTTCTTGCCACTCGAACATCAAATTCATATCTTCTCGCCACCGTGTAATATTCTCTATATTCACATTTCTTACTTCTTGCACAAGAGACAGCATTAAATTTTGCCTGTTTCTGATACTATGAATTCAAGGTGTTCAAGACTGCTATTTAAAGGAAAATGTTTCTTATGACAAAAGTAATATGATTAAAATGCCTTTGGTAGGAAAACTAGAAGCAATGCACAGGGAAAATTCCATGTGGTGAAAGTGCAGCAGGTATTTTTTACAGGTCACATTCCACAGGTCAGAATACAGGTCACCATGCTCCAGATAAATAAGTAAGACCAGAAGTGTCACCTTAAGTCCCAATCTTTATCCAAAATGTTGTTTTTGACCACGGGAGAAATTACTTGGTTTACTTAACTATCAATAAAACAGTGACCTGTAATCATGACCTGTGGAATGTGACTTGTAAAAGAAACCTCTCTGCGCACATGGTTGCTCCAAGTCATTGTGCATTTTCAAATACAAAGGAAAAATTTGCTAGACGTTCTGTAAAATTGAAGAACAGCTCCCCCCAAAATCAGTCAGCTATCTGTTGGTAGACAACCAACAGCTGTTCACAGACTGTTGACGAACAGTTCACCGACAGACTACTAACAGCTCTCCGACAGTTCACGGACAGGCCTCTCCAACAGACCAACAGATTTTTTTGGGAGCTGTTCACCAGTTTTAACAACCTTTCAACATAATGTCTTGTTGTACATAAAGGCCCCACAACAGGCTTATATTAACAGATCAGAACAACCTCTGCCACCCTTTTCTTAACATTTTGTCCTTTGGTGAGTTAAAGAGGATGGTCCAGTGTGGTCCTATCAAGGTCTTCTTTAGTAGTTGAAAGAGTTGAAAATACATTTAAAAAGCTTAAATATAAAAACATCTGATTTTCTTTCAAGATACATACATACATACATACATATACTTTATCTATGCTCGAAATTTACAGAGTAGCTATAGAGCTAATGTATTCGAGAAAATAAGTTAAAATAAAATAAAATATGCTATATTACAATTCCAATATTATTTTATAAACTATATACAACATTATTCATGCAAAGGGAAATATAACTTGTAAATCTGCTGCGGAAAAGCTTCATATCTGAGGTTTCTCCTGCTTGAATTCTGGAAAATTTAATGTTTTGTAAGTGTCTTGGAGAGAGTTCCATATTTTGCTAGCTAAGTATGAAAAAGAGTGCAGTCCGTAAGTCGTTGTTTTTGGGTTGGGAAAGGCTGGGATATGATTTCCGCGCAAATTATAGGATGAAGACCATACGGTGAACATATCTTTTAAATAACCTGGATAATTCATAAAGAACAGACTCTTATATAATGTGATCATGAAGTTCTGGAGGCGTTTAATGAATAGAGATTTCATGTTAACTTTGCTTACCAAAATGTCATATGGAGAGCTGTACTCCTGTGGTATAAACCTAAGAATGCGCTTATTTAGGTTATCTACTTTGTTGGCATTGCATGCACCACAGAAATGCCACACAGAAGAACAGTAGTAAAAATGTGGCAAAATAAAGGCTTTATAAAGCTTCAATAGCATCTCCTTATTAATAAGTTTCCGAAATCTAAGCATTACGTTAAATTGATTATTTACTTTCTTATTGATACGTGGTTATCAAAAAAGAGCCTATTATCTATTGTCATCCCAAATATATCTATTGAGTTGTTTACTGGGAAACTAAAATTGTGCTCAGTTTTTCCCAGGATTAGGGCTGGGTGCTTTTTCTCGTTAACAATCATGCCATTGTTTTTGTACCCCTGAAACAAGTGATTAATAAGTATATTGAAAAACATTGATGATGATTTAGTAATTGATTTACTAATTGATAATTATCGATTCTTCGCAACTTTTTTATCTCTTTATATTGATCGATTACCAATTTAATTAAGCAATTATTATCGAATGTTATCGATTATTGATTTTTATCGATTGGACAGCCGGGCAGGAGGGGGGTCGGCGGCATAACTTACCAATAGGTGCGATTGCAGCCATTGCATACAAATGGTAGAAAATCTACAGGTTATAATCCAGTCGTAAAAAATAAGGTTAAGGCTAACACAGCAGAGAGCAGCTGCAGAATTCTCACTGAAATGTAAACAGAAATTTCAATACCGAGCTGCCCACAGGACTCTTCTTCGCAATGAGAACCAAGCGAAGGAAACTCCGCCATTTTGAAATCTTGAAAGCTTGGGAACCTCGCACGGTAGAGCCCAAGCTCTCTCGACGTCACCGTAGCGTCAAAACTTCATTCACAATTTTTACCAAGTTGAAAAATGTTCGTTTTAGTTGACGAGAAGCATATTACTGAGGAGTGGAGTGATTTTACCTTGGTTTTGGTAAGGCACTTAGATTTGTATGCATTATTGTGACTTAATATGTAGCTTCCGTTTTGTGTAACCTTTTATGAGTTCTTGGCAAAACCCAATGTCCCCCTCCATAAGTAATAATTATTTAACAACTAGTACTAGTTGTAGCTTTCGCTAAGTGCCAACGAAAGAAAAAGAATTTGCCTACATCACCGGTTTTAGTTCCAATGTTTATAAAACCATTTCAGCTGCTGAGGTGAGAATTTCCACTACAAGCACTCCTCGTTCCTACATTTCTGCCATGATCTTGGCCTTAAATTCGCTCTTATTCTTCTGCTTAGAGATTTTTGAACTTTAAACTTGTCGAGTTTTAAACAGCGAAAGGGAAATAACATTTATTGGTTAGCACGAACTTGAAATAGCGAGTTGTAGTTCGTACAAGTACAGTAGTGTGGCAGAGAACAATATCCAAACTTTGTTTACAACAAAGGTCATCAAAAGTCACGTGAAACTACACGTGAAATCTAACGCTACTAAAATCCTCAGGGAATCTACACCTTACATTACACTTTTCACAGCACGATCGAGAATTTTTCTGCCTGTTGCAATTCTTCGCGTGGCATTAAGCTGGCCGCCTCGCAAGCCGATCGTCTTCGCTCGGCTTGCTTGTTGACAATAAATTATTCCTCAAGCCCGAATGGGCTCTGAAGCAATAGCCCATGAGGCTGAAGTCGGAATGGGCTATTGACTCAGAGGTGGTGAGGCCGAAAGGAATAATTGTTTTAGTAAAATCCAACTAGTTGGTCAAAAATATAGAGTTAAAACAACTTGAGCTAGCAAAACGTGATTCAGCGGCCATAATAGCCCACTAGTTGGATTTTACTAAATAGATTTATCCAGGGCTAAAAGCGAAGCTCTCGATAATATTTATAGTTTGTTGTAACAAAATATAAAATCGTGTAATGCTAAGCGGCGGAATACGGTGAAAAACGACAATAGGTCTAATTAGCAAAAAAGCAACTTTGCACATGCAGCACTCTTTTTTTATACATTTCTTTGCCGTTGTTTTATACAACTACAACATGAAACTTCCAGAAACTTCATAGTTACACGTTTTATGGAGGAAATGCCATACGTGTTCGTGTTCACTTTTTTTCACCTTGCATTGGTGAAAAATATTTTCACCTTGCATTGGTGGCCGCCAGGCGGTGTTGGACACGGTCCACGTGACCAATTTTGTCCAATCACATCATTGCAGATGGCGGAATGATTCTTTCACCTTTGTGCGGGTAGTCTCTTCGATTTTCTTCGATTTTCGCCGTTTATCAAGTGATTTATGATAATTTTTTTTGGAAAAGTTTGAGTAGACAGATGTAGCAAGCCGCAGTTCTTAAAACAATATGATGTATGTTTGTTTTCTATTGATATTGTTGGTTGTAATTCTTCATGCGCATAATCCCTTTGTTTAGTTAAGAGCTATTGTTTATGCTTTTCAGTCTACATCTTCTCTGTGTTCAACGACCCCTGACCTCCATTTTTAGCATAATCTATTAGTTTTGTTGTTCAAGAATCTGAAATGGTTGGCGGGCCCCAGCGGGCCCCGCCATTTTACGGGTCAAAATGCCACTTGAAGTATACCTACGTGCGTGAATCGTGACTCCATTCCGCAGCATCTTTAGTATTATAAATATACTCGCGCGGTCACGATCGAACCAGCTTAGAATACTTTCACCACACGATCAGCTCAGAATACTTTCCTTCATTTCCTTTTTATTCATCTTTAAAAATATGATATTTTTTTGTAATATATATGTCATCGTAGCGGCCCTTAGGCCCTCCGTTTTGAATAGTTCCTTGGCTTCTTCCTTCTGCCCTTGTCCGCAAGGAGTTAAACCTTCTGTATGCCAGATTCTTCATGATTCCTAATAAATCATACAAAACATAACGAACAGATAAAACTGAATTCATACGGAAAAAAATGACTCGAAAACCTCCGCTAACTTGCTGTTGTCCTCAACAACAACAAGTTAGAGGAGGAGGATTCCACATTTGCCTTGGCCTCCAGCTTCTTCTGGAAAACCAGAATAGGTTGCATATTATTTTCGATGGGAAGATCAGTATCCTTCATGCACATGTCGATGTACCTGGAAAAAGAAATCTGAGGTGAGAAGAGCGCTATAGAGAAGCTTACGTTCAAAATCAAGCACTTTAGGCACATGTAAGAACGATGTGTTGATACGTACCGCGTTGCTTCGATCCCAAAATTATCTCTTCAACACAGAAAATAACAGTTTTGTGAAGCCAGCTGTGAACTTCGATTGCGGCCACCTTTCCAGAGAAAGATCTCAAATGAACATCGCATGTTATGTCCTTTAAAAGCGGAAGAAGACCTGTAATGCCCATATCACACTATTTCTCCCGGTATTTTTATGGCGTAACGAGAGATGTGAACAAAGCAAAGGTCAGATGCAAATGAGCCGTTTTTTGTTTTTCCCCCATGATGCCCTTCGGACCGTGTCCAACACCGCCTGGGTGGCCGCTAGCATTTCTCATTTTGTCACTGCTGCTACAAAATTTCTGTTGGTCTTCCAACAAAAATATATCTTCTTTGTTTTTTATTTCTTTGCTCTAAATCTCTGTCGCCCTTTTTCTCGTTGAGCTTCACTGGCCTGCTGCCCGTTTTCTCTTTTTCTCTGTCTTTTTTTGTCTTTTTTTTTTTTAATTTTTAATGATATACTAGTGAGCAGCACACTTACACTTCCAGGGAACATTTTCACTTGAAAGAAGGAGAAACCATGCTCACCCGGGGCAACAAAAATTTTCATGCCCCAGGCGAGAATGGAACTAACAACCTTCCACATGCTAGATCGGACGTTCTAACCACTGAACCACCAGGGCTCTGGTGTTAATGAAGTCGGAATTCTACTATACCATCGGAGTGTACTACACTTCTGTACTGGGAGCTGAGTGCATTGCACTTCTATGCTCAGTTTCTTGTGTAGCTTCTGCTAGTTTCAGTAAAGTAGTTTTTAATGATATACTAGTGAGCAGCACACTTACACTTCCAGTGAACATTTTCACTTGGAAGAAGCATGCCCCAGGCGAGAATGGAACTAACAACCTTCCACATGCTAGATCGGACGTTCTAACCACTGAACCACCAGGGCTCTGGTGTTAATGAAGTCGGAATTCTACTATACCATCGGAGTGTACTACACTTCTGTACTGGGAGCTGAGTGCATTGTACTTCTATGCTCAGTTTCTCGCGTGGCTTCTGCTAGTTTCAGTAAAGTAATTTTTAATGATATACTAGTGAGCAGCACACTTACACTTCCAGGGAACATTTTCACTTGAAAGAAGGAGAAACCATGCTCACCCGGGGCAACAAAAATTTTCATGCCCCAGGCGAGAATGGAACTAACAACCTTCCACATGCTAGATCGGACGTTCTAACCACTGAACCACCAGGGCTCTGGTGTTAATGAAGTCGGAATTCTACTATACCATCGGAGTGTACTACACTTCTGTACTGGGAGCTGAGTGCATTGCACTTCTATGCTCAGTTTCTCGCGTGGCTTCTACTAGTTTCAGTAAAGTAATTTTTAATGATATACTAGTGAGCAGCACACTTACACTTCAGGGAACATTTTCACTTGAAGCATGGTTTAACAACCTTCCACATGCTAGATTTCTAACCACTCCAACTCTGGTGTTATTGTTCACTGGAAGTGTAAGTGTGGGAAACCATTGCTGCTCACAAAAGTAATTTTAATGATATACTAGTGAGCAGCACACTATCATTCCAGTGAAAAAGAAGGAGAAACCATGCTGGACATGGCAATTTATCTGCTTTTTCTTGCCCCAATACTTTTGACATGGATACAGAAACAATTTCCATGGATACAGAAACAATTTCCGCTTTCCGTTTTCATCTCTATTGACTCTTTTGTTGTCTGTGTTTTACAAGACGCCGGTGGCTATGCGAATTCCCACCAAAATAACCTCAAGTTGCATTTAGGTTGCCATACCTGTTGAATGAGTTATTTTACAGTGGTATGCCTGTGGTGCGGACGGACAGTCTCTTGGGTGGGCGGTCGGTCAATGTACGGTCACGTGATTACCAAATTTTCTTGGATGGGTCGATTACTTCATTTTCTTACCCATGGTGCTGTGCTGATGCGCTTTGCGCGCAAGAGCTCCGCCATAAAGGTTACACAAAACAGAAGCTACATACTAAGTAACAACGCATACAAATCTAAGTCAGCAATGTTTCATTTGCCAATGCCCCACGGATAGGGATGGTAAAATCTTGGGGTGAAGTGGTTTTCAAATTAAACTCGTTTGATCTTGAATAATTTTCCTTTGTTTCCATGCTCTGATTATTCATAGGAAACAAAGGAAATTTCCGGAGGCCAGAGGAGAACAGGGATGAGCATACTTGGAATTGACTGACCATGGTCAGTCAATTCCAAGCATTTCCTTTGTTTCCTATGAATAATCAGAGCATGGAAACAAAAGAAAATTATTCAAGATCAAACGAGTTTAATTTGAAAACCACTTCACCCCAAGAGAAGATTTTACCATCCCTATCCGTGGAGCATTGGCAAATGAAACATGCCTGACGTAGATTTGTATGCATTGTTACTTACTATGTAGGTTCTGTTTTGTGTAACCTTTATGGCAGAGCTTTTGCGTGTAAAGCGCACCAGATTTTTCAGTGTTCATTTTCTATTTGGTCTTTTGATCAACATTTCATATTCATATTACTGCTTTTCTTTTGGGCAAATATCCCTTAACAGAATTTCCCCTTTTTACTTACTTACCTTCTCCTTACATCAACTCTTCATGCACTAGTCAGTGAAGCCCCTGACCCCACCTCCCCAACCCTTGGGATGATAGGTGAATTGTATTGGGGTACCTTTCACTTCTTATTCAGTCGCTTGGCCTACCTCCTGGTATAGGCAGGGAGTGCGTTACAAATCACCGTTTTTGCCCCCTGGACCAGGGAATTAGTTGGAATTAACATCCTTAGGTTAAGGTTGACATTTAAAAGGGAGTACAATGTCTGGCGGAATATGGGTGTGGGGGAGTTCATTATTCACTTTGGCCCTTTGTGGACCAGGAAATTCACTTGCTTTCACTTGCAGAGAAAGTGGGAGAAGGGTAATGTTTAAGGGTTAGAAATGACTGTTGCTTGAAGGCAGTGTTTTCATTCCAATAATAAACTAAATTAAAGGTTGAAAAGAAAAGTTTTATTAGACGTAAAGTATCTGAGATTGTTATGTTTCTTCCCCAGAGCTTCACACGTGAATGTTACACTTTGATGCATAGTGCACATGTTTGTAATTGACATTTGGCATTTTTTAATAACCTAAAGTTTTGCAATTTTTGTAGCCAGCTGTGTCAATAGGTAATGTGGGACAGTTAACGATGGATCTGATAACATCTTCACTATCTCCTAACTGTTACCACATTGGATATTTACATGACCCCTGTATCTTACCAGTAGTGGGTAATGATGCCCTTGTCGAGTCCTCTTCATCTTCAGGGAAACTTAATGTCAGTGCTGAAGGTTTGTTTATCTATTCATCCATTTTTTACTAGTGTCTATCAAGGCTTATTCCAGTGCTTGTAAACAAAAAGGTGAACCATTTAAAAGAGGCAGTCAAGTAACTGTGAAGTTCCATATGTTTCTGATTGTTGTGAACTGGAAGCACTTCACATAGGATGGATGAGGTTGTAATGATATCCAAAATAATCAAGGTCAAGGTAAGTGTTATCAGCCAAGCCAAAGGCCGTGGCTGATGACACTTACCGAGACCTTGATTATTCCAGATATCACAAAAACCGAATCTAATAATATTGTTTTATTATACATTGTTTTGAAATAAATAACGACAAATATACTGATTTGACATTGCTCTTGGAAATCATGCATTGTGCACGCATCCTACAGATTAGTCAGTTATCTCTGCTTTCTATAATGCCATGTGTAAGACTATGACGTAATTAATGATGGTATTATTGTTGTTTCCTTGACAGTGTACAAAAATGATGATTATAAGCTTGTTCTTCTACAACTAAGAGCTCCACTAGTTAAGGTAGTATTATATGGTTCATATACCATAGTTTTGTAATGTTTAAGTTTTTTGGGTTAAAGATAAAACCTGATACTCTATTTCAATAGAGTACATCACTGCCACAAGCAACCTGGATTATGTCGTAATATAAGTCAACCCCGGACAAAACCTGTTGAGACAAATCGCAAAAATACCTATTTTTTCCTATCATCCTGGCAAAAACTGAAACCTCTGCCAAATGAATGTCAGATTTCCCCCCTCCCCTTATCCAAAGTTGTTAAGGATAGCAAGGGAATTATACACTCTGGTTTGTAGACCGAGACAACTTTGAATAGGGGGTGGGGAGGGGGCTTACTTTTTCTGTTTACAGGAGACAGGAGTAGGGCACAAAAGTTAGAAAATAGATGGAATTGTCTCAACAGTTTCGTCCGGGGTTGGTGCTCAAGTGTAAATGAGGTAAATTAGAAAAGAAATAATCTTTAAGGTAAAAATACATGTATATTCAATACTAGAAATTAAAGGCTAATAACATAATTTGAGGTTGAGCTCTAGATAACTATTACAAAAGACTGAAATTGTACACTGTTGTCACAATGCTCACCAATTCCGTGTGCTGGATTTCCTGTGATGTGTAAACATACAAATGATTATCTGAAAAGAGGTTGACATAATATCCAACATTTTTATTACAGGGTTCTCAAGCAAAATTCTGCAAGAAACTTGTAGCATGGGTAAATGAATGCCACTTCAAACAGGTTCTTGTTCTGTCCAGTGTTAGTGCAACTGAACGAGTTGACTCACAGATTGAAGGGTATGATATAGTTCCCTATAACAGATGCTGTATACCTTGACTATCTCAATGTTTCATGTCATTAAATGTCAGTGTGGGCTCCATGAGTCAGATTTTAATTTAGGCATGTGTATGGAATTTAAACACAAATGCTTGATTTAGGGTAATCAATGCAAACTACTGCAACATTGTATATTAAGTTACTGTTAGATCAGATTTAAATTTAATTCATGCCAAGGCCTTGTAAATATAAATAATAGGCTTTCTGTTGGTTTTCTTTTTGTCCAAAAGAAATTTGAAGAGCTTTTAGCCAAGTTTTCTTTGGGGGTCCAGGGGTTTCAATAAGCGCCGATGGCCGACAAAACACATCGGCCACTTTGTTCATAGAAGTTGGCTACTTTTTCCTAGAGAAATATAAAGTTTGAAATAATTTATTACATTATTAACAAAATATATCATTAAATGTGAATGAAAACATAATTATGATGTGCTTTCATGAAAGCCCACTGGTTTTACGTTATCCTTTAGTCATGAGAATGCTATATTTCAGTCAATTTTTCACACCTTTATGCTGAATTTGTTTATGAGCAAAAGTATGTGATGTAGTTTTCATAATTTGTTCTTTGCTTGTAGGAATTTATTATGTAACTGATAAATTGAAAGTTGAATGAGAGCTACATTTTCTTGAATGAAAAACAAACTCTTTTCTCCTCAATTTAGTTCCCAGAACTCTGAAATTCGCATTTTAGGGCTTTGAAGTTTCAAAAGTTTCTGGGGAAGCATGCCCCCAGATCCCCTTCTCCTAGAGAAAGGGGACTAACAGCCCCTTGTTGATACAGTTGGTTACTCTATTCACACCTGCTTCAATTTTTATTGAAACCCCTGGGGGTCACATTGCAGCAAAACACTGATTTTCGAGGACTCTCAGATTCAACACCAAAATCTTGAAAAATCTGGATCTAGGGGCAAACCTTTACAGACGTAAAAGATGTGTTTTCTTAATTGGGGATGACTTAATTAATCTATTGCTACTAACAAGGTTTATAATTAAATCCACAAAAAAATATGCAAAACACCATTTAATAGGCCATTTCCAAGTTTCAAGGCTCTCACTTTCCAAACGATACTATGTGTGAAACCTTTCTTGTGAAAACAAGATAATTATATTTGCATGGGAATAGAGTGTTTTCACTCACGTGGCCGGAATCTCCACAAATTCATTGGAACAAAAGAGAGCGTTTGCATAAGAAAAGAGTTCCACTCAGAAAGTATCATTGTTTCATTGCCGTTTCATTGTTTTGGGGCACCAATATGGCCGCCATGACCTCATGTGAAAACACTCCTCAAAAGTCATTTTTATATGAACAGCTTTTCACTTTAGCTTCGCTATGAAATAGAAGCTTGGAGCAACTCAGAAATTATCACGATTCTCAGACGTCTGAGGGACCCCGAACGACCTCAAACGTCTGTCAGAAATGGCCTATTTTGTAATTTTTTTCCTCTCTCTCTCTTTATAACGTTTATTTTGATCTCAAGCCCCTGCATAAAATTCACTGCTTACCGTTCAGTCTTTCTGTACCTTTCAGTTCCTGATGATGGGTACAAAATGTAGATCATTGATGAATTTATGTTCTTGTTTATAATTTTTAGGTACCAGTATTATTTATTTTAGTTTATTTTTTTATTTGATTTTCTCTTTGACTCAACTTTTTAATTTTTTTAATATGTATATTGGAAAGAGATCATTCATTTGAGAAAGAATTACAGATAGCAACTTGTGTTTATTATTTTTACTATCATTTTTTGACAGATCATAATTTAACATACTATTTTTAGCTCTCCCTTAAGGTACCTTCTCTCACCATCCGCCAAGACACTCATTCCATTGTTTAATAAACTGTCATGGAAAGAACTGGAAAAGAGAGCAAAGTTCCCAGATGCGAATGAAGGTGAGTCTCTACTCATAGGTCTGATGTAATAATGTGGCTTGTCTGTTGGACTGTTGTGGTTTTCTTGAGTGGTTTATAATCATCTCATAGTAATAAATTCCTTTCTTCCTCAAAAAATGAAATTATAGTTAGAAAACAGCGTTAAGGATTTTGAAGAAAATAATATGATTGAGAATCAAAATTTGTCACGGTGGTAGGTCAAATAGGGATTCAGTAGTACACAGATAGTTTTAATGACATAAAAGGAGAGTTTCTTCGATTTCATCTACAAAAACATGGTTAATCGACTTGTGTTCTTCTCTTTTTATAATGCATCAGTCAATTCCACCTGCGCCTAGCCCCCCCACCCCCCTGCTGACCCCCGGGCATTAGCATTTTTTGTGCCTTGGATGGCAAATTCCCGGGGGTGGGGACTCTTGAGCTGTCAAATCCCCCAGGGTGGGGACGAAAAAAGAGGGCCAATGCCCCGTCCTCCGTCAACACTGCAACATTTGTCATTGTGATCGCACATTCAAGTAGTGCCATTTTAAGCATTTTAATGTGCGATTTTTTGTTTCAATTAACGTCTTTCTTTGTAATAGCGCGAGGATTCTAATTAAGACTTCACGCCGCGACGACATGCACCAGTTTATGGTTTTAGTATTGACATAAAATTATTGACATTAAAATTAATAGAGCGCTGTAAAGTTATATGTTATGAATAGTTTTATAAAATAATATGAAAGGATGTTCTTCAAATAATATCAACAGAAACAAGATTCAATAACCAAAAAACGTTGATTCACATCCATAGCTCCAATTTCGCTACATAATTCTGGCTTGAAAAGCAATGAAGAAGTGCGTACATACATGTAAAATCAAGAACATACCTTTACAACCCTCTACAATTTATTCCTGTCATTGACAGATGAGCCAATCTGCGTATATAGGAAACCGCGTGCGTGTCAAAAGCTCGGGAATGGCCCGGGGGTTGCCAAATGCCCGGCCCCCGCGCAGTGCAAAATTTGCAAATGCCCCACCCCCGGGATTGACAAGGCGGGCAAGTGCCCCGCAGTTGCCCGGGGGGGTGGGGGGGGCCTGGGCACAGGTGGAATTGACTGATGCTTAAAACCCAATTTTTCTAATTAATTTTCAAAAAATAATTTTGTATCATTTGCAATTAAAAGCAAAGAACCCGCCGTCTTGGAAGCTTTGGTCTACAGTCAGTGGGAACTGAAAGGTCTCATGCAAGGAAACGAAGGAGAAAATTCTATTCACCTTTACCATCCCTGGAAAAGGCAATTGCTCCAAATGAGCCCGAAATCAGAAACTAGGAGAGCATTTTCAGAACATTCCACTTGTTTCAGCACAACGAGACAAATATCCTTAGCTGACTTTCTCGCTAAAAATGCTCTCAAATCTTACAATCAACCATAAGACTTTCACGGCAAAGTGTGCTTACACAGTGCAATTGAAAGAATTGTCCTTTTCATTCACAACGTGGAAAAAATTTTGAGACCCAAAAATGAATGGCCTCTTAAAATCATTGACTCTTCCACACGCACCTCGCAGGCCTGCGCACCTGAGTAAATGTCATTAAGAAGTACAAACAGGCAGAAAACTTAAATTTTTGTGTATTTCTACCCCACACTACAGTTTTTATTTTAAAACTAAACACCCCCCTCCCCTTATGCCCTCATTTTTTATTAATTGATGGCTGTTTTTCTCTCCATATAGTATGCATAATGAATGAACTTTTAAGCAGTGTGTTAATTTGAACTGTATCAACGTATTATGTTAGAGTCAACCGAAGAGGAAGAGTTCTTTTTACCTGGTGGAGGATTTACAAAAAAATTATACGAAGAATGGTGAGGTGCTAACTCGATCAAAGATTAATTGATTCCGTTACATGATATTAATGTGGGAATGACAGATATCTTTCTCTATTTTTTTTCAATATTATTAGTGCATTATATTATCTAAGAATTTAGGAGGTGTGGCGGGATGAACTCTATGAAATGTTAACAAAAGGAAATGCCTTTGTGTATCGTGGAAAGTGCACTTAGCTGCCCTAGCTAGTTCAGTTCATAGGTACTCCTCTCAAATCATTGGAAAGAGTATGAAAATTAATGGTATTTAGATTGACCCAAGGTTAAAGGGGAAGTTCCCATTAATAAATCTATAATTTACTTCAAACCAGTAACTCAAGTGGAGTCAAGCCTGCAATCGGTTCAAAATTAGTAACTTGTCAGGAGATAACTTAAAAACACGTAACCTTGATGGGTCAACACCAAAGCCCCCAATTGACCACTCCAGAAAATACCATAACATACCATAATACTCTTTGTTAGTCGCCAAAATTTTGCATAAGCATTGTCTTCAGTTTCTCTTGGGAGTTAGCGGTTCAGTGGTCAAAGCCATGTATCAAGTCTGCGAGTCTGACGGACTGACAAATCAGCCACGCTGCCTGCTGCTGTACACTTCCAGCACTGAACTTTAAATTCACGCAAATAGAAAGAGCCTATTTACTGGAGGGGCACCAAGAAGCAGCTTGTAACGAACTATATTACTTAAGTTTGTTTCTGTTTAGTTGCAGAGAGAATATCTCCCTAGCTGTTCTACTTACATTCTGTTCAGAGGGTGATAACATATCGGATGCTGTAAATCTCTTCCTTTTTGTCAATGAGTGGCTTAGTCTAGTTCCCAGAAAAGAGGTAACTTTAAAGTAAACCGAGGAATCATAATTTGAGAAAAAGCCGCATGTGTAATACTGTGGAGCCTCTACTCATTGATTTACTCGTGTTTTAACCTCTTGCCTATGGGTGATTCCAGGTCAATATAGAACAATGCAGATTATGCATTTCTGAAACAACTTAGTTTAGTTTAAGTGATCAAGTTAGTGAGCAGCAGGTTCAGGAAGGTTAGATCTTTGCAGCCACTGCATTCTAAAGCAGTTCTTTTAACCCACTGCCAATTTTTTTTCTTTGCTGGAAAGTTAGCCAGCTACAATTCCATGGGAAAGAGAACTGAAGTGGGCAACAAAACTAGATTTGAAAAGAAAGGGAAAGGAAAGAAAGAGAGCACGAAAGAAGGATTGAATAGATTCGCAAAAAAAGGAAAGAACAAGTCCGCATTTTGACAGGAAAATTTTCCAAAAATATTGCACATCTCATTTTTGCCATTTCCATGCTTATTGGCGGAAACCGGTCCAAAACTGAGGGGTTGGTAAAATATGCATTTTTTTACTAATAAAAGTACGTTTCCAAAAGTTTACCTGTCTACAATGGCAACCTCTCCATAGCGGCAACGGCCACTAAATTGCGCTCCAAACTGCAAAAAAAAACCAAATCATCAATGGACATATCCTGCTGTCTTTCCAAATAAAAATATTCTACTTTCCCACCAAACTGGGTGGAACCCCATAAACTAAAGGCCACCTCTTCACGACTGATCCCTTCCTCTGTCTTTAAAGATGACCACTGTAGAGAGGCCTTCGACTGGGAATATGTTTAATAATAAGAAATCCTATCTACATGTAAGTCATACCAAGGTCTAGCCATTTGCAGGGCAAAGCCAGTATACTTTCTTCTTGTTTACCATAGTATTGGTCCGGTCCCAGAAATCAAACGTGCGACGTCCCCCTCTGCAAACAAGCCCCTAAACGGAGCTATCCCGTCTAGGGTTAACAAGTTTTTAGTTATAAGTTTTAAAAAAATAAGAATCGAAATAAAATGATAAATTTGTGGTTGATCGTATCTTAAATTAACAATACAAACAATGTTAACTTTACTGGAACTGTTTTCAGGTTGAGGATGCATTTTCAGGAACGTCAAGTGAGTAAAGCCCTTGGTTATTTTAAATCTAGCTGAGCTAACCTGTGATCAGGCGTTGTTGTTAGTAGTAATGGTCGTCTATTTGGCCACCATTCTTATGCAAATGAGTTGTTTTGTTTTTTCTGGTTGCTGATTGGCTGGACATTTCATGACTTAGTACTATCATGTCTCGGTAAACCAACGAATCGGAAAGATCCCAAAGCGAGGCTCGGGTGTTCGGAAATAGAGTCGGAAATATGTTATTGAGGGATGATATGAAGTAAAATTAGAGAGATACTTGGTGAGTTATCATATAAGAGTATCTGTAAGCGAGATACTTGGTGAGTTATTATATAAGAGTATCTATAAGCTTATTATATAAGCGTATTTCTGTCCCTTCTTTACGCATGCAGAGTGCGCAGGATGCATGCACAGTAGAGAAATTGTGTTAACATGTTCTTAAACGTAGTGAAATCAACTGTAGAGTGAAAGTAACGCGTGTTTTTAGGTTTAAGAATGCATGCGCAATAGTGCATGTTATTTGTTTATAAGCAAAGGCAGTGAAAGTTTTGTCGTGTTATACGTGTAGACATAAGCACTACCGAAACGTTTGGTGAGAGAATTGGTTATAACTTTTATTAAACTTGGTGGCTCCTAAATGAGCCGTTTGTTTAGATTTTCCTTATTAATAGAAAATCGTAGGTTTCTTACTCATAAAATAATTATGGTAAGATAGAGTGAACGGGTAAGCTGTTATGATCCTGAACTTGTCCGAGATTGCAGTATTATAGGAATAATAAATAGCAATCTCATAGCAGGGAAAGCCCCAAGGGTCTGTCCCAACGAATTTACCTACATCAAATGAGTATAGACAAGAGTTTCAGTGTCCCGTTTCCAACCCTGTTCCATCAGCTTGACATCGTCTCTTTTTCCCAATTTCTTCTCGATAACAAGCCGAGAGTGGTTGTTAGATTGAGCAATAAAAGAACTTGGCAGTTCTCTCGTGTTGATGCCGGTTCAAATGTCATACATTTATATGGTCAGCTTGTTCCTTAGTCAGGATCACATCTATGGTTTCAAAGGCTTCAGTCATGATGTTGCGTTTGTGGAAAACGAAAATTTTAGCCTTCTTAAATCCATTGATCAAACATGACCTATCCGACTTTGTAGTTTCCGAAAGAGTGAAAGAGAAAAAAGATCAAACACTTCTTAAAAGAAGAAGCAAATGATCAGACACCTCGACCGTGACGCAAACCGACAGAGATACTAATCCATTGTACTACTGAAGCGTTCAGTAAGAGAATTTGTTATAACTTTTATTAAGATTGGCGGATCCTAAAGGAGCCGTTTGTTTCTTGAATTTCTAATCTATGACAATACAGTGGTCTTGAATAGATTTCTTATGTCACTTGACAAAAGCAAGTTCTTGATCGATGGTCACGAAGATTCTAGTCACCATAACTGTAGGAGTCAAAATTGTCCTGCCTGTTGCAGAACCCGAAGAAGAAAAGAGCCTGGCTGCCCCAATTTTGCTGTGTGGTTGACGCCTCAGCTAGAGTGTAATCGCTGCCATATTAAGTTTTATGGGTCTGATTGTTTTGCCGCGCATCAGCAGAAAAGCAAGAAAAAGGGAGTGAAAAGCATCTGTGAAAGGTATCGAGAATGTTTAAGTTGTTGTAGTGTCTATCAGCTCGACCCCAAGATACCTCACAAGTGTTTCCATGCCACCTGTGCAAACTGTAAAGAATTTCAGCATGTAGACCATTGCTGTTTTATCCAGCTGGTAGAGAAAAAGAGCGAGTCAGATATCCAGGAGTCTGGTAACGAGGAGCCTGATTTCTAGGAGTCTGGTGATGAGGACAAGAAGGGACCCCCGCCTAAACCTCTTCTGGTCTTCGTGGACATTGAATTTTATCAATATGAAGACCAGGTGTTTCATCCTAATCTGATCTGCTGGTCAAATGCTGAAGAAGAAGAAATATATCACGCAGAAAACGTTGAAGACTATTTGGAGCCCTTTGAGGAATTGATGATGGTTGAGGATGATGAGAGAGAAAGGAAGGTGGTGTCGTTTTCTTACAATTTGAGAGGGATTGACGGTAATTTCATCCAGCAAGAATTGTACGATCAAGGTACGGTTGTGGAAAAGGCTCTTTTCAATTCAGAATCTTTTCTGGCTAACGCATTAAGTACAGTGTCACTCAGAGCAACGAACTCCATCTCAGCGATTGACAAAATACAGGATTCCTCCAAACTGATCTATTTCATACACATTTTCATACTCGCTCCAGATCACCACGGTGATCAACTGCTGCCTGGAAGTCAATCTCATACCGTACATTGCCTGTTTGTCTTGGGTTTCTGAATTCAGGATCTTCTGCATCGCCTGGGACATTGTTGAACATGAAGAGGGTACAATTCTTGCTTTGCCCCCAATCACTTGGTAGAAGCATAGGAGGTTTGTGATGTTTGTAAGCCCCTGAAGCTGTTAGAAATCGGTCATACCCTACCAAATCTTCTGCACCGCTGTTGCCTGTCAATTCCAACGCTCTGTACGGATATTCTTCGCCATCAATCGTCTGTCGGACACTGGTCACTCCAAACTTTTCATATGCATACGAGTAGCAGTTGAGAGTTCCATTGTAGTTATTAGAATATAACAACCCTATCACCACTTTTCCAACTGACTTTCGGCGCAAACAATCTTTTAGTTCCCATCTGGCAGTGTGTCCATCAAAGAAGTAGGTTCGGATTTCACTCCTAACCACTGGATGTTTCACTTTTTTGGTTTTACTCAGGAATCTTTCTTTCTGCAGTCTGGCATACACAGATGTATTCAGCGTGACTTTTTTCATCCACAAGGTGACATAGATATCATTGTCTCCCAGTGTTGGAATCTTTTTGTCTACACTGGTAGTAGTGTCAGGTGTTTCAAAGAGAAACATGTTATTATCGCTCAGGAGTAATTCTAAATCAATTTGAACGCTTGGGACCAGACATTTGCCTGTTTTGAACACGGCCACATGGGGTTTGATCATAAAGGTATGAGAGACTTTTCCCAGCAAACGACTGGTTAAGGCTTTGAGGCCTGTTTTGCCTGCCCAATTAGCCACATCTGGTTCATCATTATTAGTAGCATTGGTAGGCGTCGATTCTTCAGCCACATTCAGTTCATTCACCCAACCTTGAGCAGCGAGTGTGGTTTTCCCTTCTTCCTGATTGTAATTCACCAGAGTTTCCATGTAGGTGATAAGCATTGCTCTATTCCGTCATCAAGACACCATTGAACTTGACATTCACTTGATTAAACAGTGTATGTGCAAAATTTTTGGCGCAATAGATATATTTACTTTTATTGGCATCAGACACAGTTCCTTCCGTAGCAGAGATGTGACCTGTGCCTTTGGTATTGAGGCGGATTCTGATTTCCAACTTGGTTTTATTTAAATCATAATAATCATTGGAGGAAGTGACTGTAAAGAGAATGGGTCATCTTCCTGTGTTGGCAGGTTTAAAGGGAACCCATCTTTTCGCTTCATAGCGATAGTCAATGTCCAGCACGTCAAAGAGGTTCAACGACATGTTGATAGAATGACACTTAAGCCTGTTTACGTCTCCTTTTATACTTGCGGCCTTTTGTCATCCATGGGTAGACCACTTTTTGAACTGAACTTCCTTTCTGTCGTCGACGAGCCAGCCAAGGTTGAACTTGATAAGGCAAACGTAATCCTAACCCATAAGCAATACTTCCTCCCCTCTGACAGGAGGCTTGATAACATCCCACTGCTCACTGCTCGCTCGCGATTGGGATCTAAGTCCACGTCTTATGTTGATTACACACCGAATATGTCTTTGACCCGTTTGATTTTCTTTTTATAGCTTTGTTTGACAGCCGTTTAGCCAGGACGCCTGCACCGGCAGGGAGTTTTCGTTTTAATCCTTTTTTCAAAACTTGTCCTGAGGGGCTTAAAGCATCTTCCAAAGAAGACCCTTTTTCACAGGCTTGAAGCCCATGTCCAATGAATCGAATGAGAGTAGGCCCTGCTAGTTTGACTGATTCCTGCGAAAAACCCTTTCCTCGCAAAGAGGGAGTATGATACCATGTAGGAAATCCGCCTAACATGGTTGTTATCAATAATGGGAAACAGTGATGGTATGGTTCTTTTATACTCGTCAAAACCCCCAATTGTGACGAGCGTTTTCCCAGTTGGTAACACTACAAGAGGTCCTTCCGGGGTAGCAATTTGTACCTCAATGATTTCTAATCGATTACTCCGTAGTTTAATCCATTCATGATGTATAGGTTCTACGGTGGCACGTCCTTGACCCAAACGTTCAAGTTGCACTTTTCTCAACAAGGGATGTTTTTGTGCCCCCAGCACAGTAGATTCCTCCACATCTGAATAGATCACGAGTGTTTGTTTAGTCGGTCTCACATGAGTATTAAAGGTGGAATTCAAATTCATGAATCGCCATTGCACACGTCGGGTTAAATGAACAAATGTTTTTCCTCCACGATTCTTCATGACCTTAAATAACTCTGTAGGCAAATTTTTGATCTCGGGATGAATCTTTTCTAAAATCATGAGGTATGATCCCCAAATAATGATCACCTAACCAGTGATATCTATCGTTGGTCTTGGTTGGAACAGTGGTGCTTGAATAAGTCACTTGTGGCAACTCATATTCCAGATTTGGCCCTAAGTGATACTTGTCGTTTTTATCTTTTTGAATCAAACCAAACTGTTAAAGGTTAAAGGTTAAAGGCATGTTTATAGTGGAAGGTGCACTTAGCTACTCAGCTAATTTACAGGCACTCCACTCAAATATTTAGAAACAAATAATTCAAATACAACATAACAGGATTAAAAATCCCAACTGGCAGAAGGCAACCAGTTGGCTATTTACAAGCGTGGCCGAGAATTTGAACTCGGGACGACCGAGCACAAATCCAGCAAGTGGCCAGAGCGGGACTGGAACCCGGGACCGCCGGATTGCGAGTCCGACGCTCTGACCATTCGGCCACGCTGCCTCCTGGGCAAACTCCAGTTGAATAGGAAAGGTTGATAATGGTTGAACTCGATAAAATGCATCACGTTCATACACATCTTTTTCAGGCACTGCTTTTAAAATAACATCGTGAATTCCACCCTTAATACTCATGTTCTCAATGCCTCTTCGTGTTAGCAAAAGTTCCAGCTGCTCATGTCAGAACTTGATGGCACCATTAGTATTTTTCTCCCGCAGAAGATCTCGAAGAAACACCCTACTGACCGCCCTTGGATGACTAGTAAGATCAAAATGTGGATTGGTAAACGCCAATCTGCATTTTCTAGACACGGAAAGGACTCGAGTGCCTATCGTCATTGGAGAAACAAAGTTCAAGGTGCAATAAAAACAGCAAAACACCACTACGATCAGGAAAAGGTTGCTGAGGTCGAACATGTGAATCCCGAGAAATGGTGGACGGATATAAAAAAGTTAGCTGGCCAGGTTGCTAAGCAGGAGTGGTACCATCAGTTCCTTGATAAAGACATAGATATCAAGCGTTTAGCAAATAAGATCAACAGCTATTTTGTTGGGCTGACTAACCACTTTCCACCCCTGTGCCAGGAAGTGCCCCCGCTATCTGTTCCTGATGAATTATTAATTTAGGAGTATGAGGCATACAAGTCCTTGTGCTCACTTCAGACATCGAAAGCAGTCGGCCCTGACAACATACCTAACCGGATTCTGAAAGATTTTGCCTTGGAGTTAGCCCCCCTCGTTTGTGACATTTACAACCAGTCTCTAAGGGAGGGGCACATACCAGCTCTTCTGAAATCGTCGATTGTTACACCTATCCCTAAGGTGTCTCCACCCGCTCTTATTGAACAAGATCTAAGACCTGTATCTCTTACCTGTACTTTGGCAAAAGTTATGGAGGGCTTTACCTGTTCCAGACTCCAGGTAATAAACTGGGTAAGCGTACTTTAAAACTAGTGTTTTGACTGTTGGCAAATTCATCCGTTGGATCACTGATTAAGGTAAAGCGAAATTCATACATAATGCTCGTAAATCTTTTTTCCAAATCCAACTATTATACTCTTTAGGCCACCCCTTCCAAGCGACAAACACTTGATTTCCTTTGCGTTTCAACACTTTGTCTACACGAAATAAAGCATCATCGGGCACAACCACTTTTTGAAAATCTTGTTCATAGAACGACCCTTTTATAGGCATGTCGTTCCATTCCGTGAGCTCATAAGTGACTACAGGTTTGGTGGTGGCAATTCGCTGCGCTAAAAAGACCACTTCCGTCCATCCAGGCTGATATCTTTTTTAAAAGGGCCGAATTCTTTAGCGGAGCTCCCACGCGCGCTGACAGATCCCCATACTCATGGAATATGGTCAACCTCTTTTCGTTTGGTTGTCACGTGATTGACCGAGCTTACACGTCTACAGATTGTAAGGGTGGGGTAGGGGAGACTATCAAAAGCGAGGAAGTCACTTAGCCTTTCCCTTAAAAGTCACATGAATGTGCTCTAAAGCTAACTGAATTGTGGAATACAAGCTTATTGTTTGATGTAAATCATAAATCTATTAATGGGAGCCTCGCTTTTCAATCTCACTTTATCTCCTACTTAACATTTGTGTTTTTCTCCGCTCTTATTCGTTTCCCATACAATCTGAACCAAATGTCCAACTGGTTTTTAGGGGTCACATTCACAGGTTTTTCTTTAATACTGGAATTAAATGAATGATTATAGGCTTTGACTAAAGCTGGTAAGACATCAATATACTTTAGAGTGTTTTTAGCGTTAAAACAACGAAACATTTTCGTTTTCAACGTTTGATTCCAACGTTCAAACACGGAGCCATGAGGATCCCCATCCGTGGAAAAATGAGTCACATTATGTTTCTTAAAAACGCTTGCACCTTGGAATTATAGAACTCACTTCCAGCGTCGAGGAGATGTTCGTTTCCGTAACCTTTCTAAAGCAGCGACCAGTTGTGCGGCACTTTTACTTTTTAAGGGTTCCACCCAGGCATATTTCGATAAAACATCAATCACAGTGAGTAAATATTTATAACCCTTGTTCCATTTAGCTTATTTCTGGAGGTCGACGAGGTCCATTACAAACTGTTCATTCATACCAAGCACCAAGGAGGTAATGTAGGAATACGACGACGACGAGGTTTGTGCATCTCTGCTTTTTCTCGTGAAATACTTTGAACCTTAGCAAGTGCACTGACTTTACCAAGGGAACCAGGTTGTGGAGGATCTTCGTACGACACATGATGCAAGATGTATTGACCAGCCAAATACGGGAATGAATAAATCCATTATTGATACTGTTTCTTTAAATAGCTGAACACAACATGTCCTTGTGAAGGAAAATGTGTATGAAGCCAAGTGATGTAGACAGCATAGCGACTCCACGTTGGATTTCTCTTCATAATGTAGACAAATAAAGGAACAGGGTGAGAGGCTTTGTTAGGAATAACGGTGTCCTTATTAAGTTTTCCACATATCCAAACAGTATATATACTATACTATTCCTATACGCTTCCTTGATCTTTATAAAAGACTGATCAGTCCGCTACGAATTTATAGCAGTGACGACTACAAAAGACTTACCGGGACTTGCCCAAGGTTCCAGTTTTTAACATATCCAGAAATCCCGATACAGTGAGGGCAAGCCATACCTTCAATGGTGTCACCTGGTTGTTTTCGATCAAGATACGCTCGACAGGATGAACATAATAACTCATAACGTAGTTGATCATTATTCACATGTAAAGCTTCCGATTCCCCTTTCATGATATCAATGAGTTGTTCTTTTTTCTGTAAGATGGCTTGATTTCTTTCTAATTCCTGATTACATTGGTACCATAATTGAGTCATCAACAATCTTTTAGCTGACATGTTGATACAAGATAAAACTTGAACCCTACAACTCCAATTTATAACCCCTAACCGTAACCCTTTGGGACTAGGTCTAATTTACATTTTAATCAAAAACCTCACCCTAATTAACATTTTAACCGTAACCCTAACCCTTATTATCATAACAACAACACATTTTTTCAAAAGAGTTTCATTTTAAGAAATTAACACGGCCTACATTATAATGTTTGAGTCCTTTCAAAAACTGTTCATGAGCCTGGGACAATAATTGGCCCTGTTCTTTCTGCTTTTGTAAATAAGAGGCCAAACTAGCCTTTTTCTCAGGCAACCATCCAAAGGACTGCTTCTTTTCCACTTCGTTCTTCTCGTGAGCGGGAAAGCCTTTTTTACACATTCTATAAAACTCCCATGATGAAGCAAATGAACTGGCTTGCTGCTCTTGTTTACGTACATGTTTGCATCCTTCTAAAAGCTTTTCATCAGCAGGGGACAATGTTTTGCCCTTTTCTTTCTGCTTTTGTTTAGAAGTAGCTATCCAAAAAATTGCTTTTTTTCCACTTCGTTTTTCTGTTCTGACCCCAGCGGAGGATTCCAGGCGTCATGTTTGGCTTCTTCTTGCCCCTTTAATTGTTCCAACACTTTAGGACCCTAAGCTAATGTACTGGGAAGTCCCTTAGGTTTAGCTTGCCGCTTTTGTTCTTCATCCAGGTTTTGTTGCCTTGGTCGCGGTTCCACTGGTTTACATTCTGCACTGCTTGTTGAAACTAGTCGGACTTTTTGTTGGTCTGGATTGGATTTATTGACAGACTTGAGAGGTCTTGGTTTGTAACGCTGTGGCTGACGGGAGGCAGTAAATTTCATGAGCCATTCCGGAATAGGTTCCGATGGTAGGGGATAGAGACCTGTATGAATCCATTGTAAATATTTACAAGGGGGCGCTTTTGGTCTTTGCTCTACACGATTGTATAGCACACCACAGGTCAGAAACACTTTGTTCAAGTTCTTTGCTGTTTTACTGAGTCACATCTTTGGAACATAGTGACAATGACATTCCAAGTGACCCCATTTGGCGTGGACTTCAGGATGAATTCCTTCTCTCAAAGCATGGTACACTTTCTTTTTATCTTCTATGTTTCCATAAAAACGTGGACAAGGTTTAGATTTGTAGTCCTCCATTAACAGAAACTTGGTGATTAAAGGCTCGTTGGGTTCAAAACAACCTGCTTTCAACATCTCAAGATCTCCTTGGAAGTTCATATTGATGAATGATATCAGACTGAATGGTTGAGCTCATTTTATAACAAGGTAATTATACATAGACGTCATTTGTTTTCCCTAGCGTGTTAGACAAGTCTGGGCAATGATGTCACAATTAACTCAAGGTGTTGGGTTTTCCGTAGGGTGTTAGGCAATGATGTCATTATTTCCCCTGGGCGCTGGGCATATTGAGACGAGTGAAATGAGATCACGCAGTAAGGTTAACATCAAACATCTTAGGCAACATTGGTTTTTTAAAAAAGATTTAAGGAAACTGAAATCCTCCCTCTGTTTTCTGCCGTTTCTCCATTCTTCCATGCACCATGTCATTCAGTCGTTTCTTCAGGGCTGTTCGGGTAGCTGTCCTGGGTTTTTAGACTGGATCGGGGGCTTCATGAATCCACCAAAAGTACTTATAGCGAGCATCTAAATTCTTTG